GTCATCTCTTGGATCTCATGTCTCTTGTAGGAGACTCCTAAACTCTGCCCCACAAACTCCTACACTCTGTCCCCACATACTCCTAAACTCTGCCCCACATACTCCTAAACTCTGCCCCACATACTCCTAAACTCTGCCCCACATACTCCTAAACTCTGCCCCCACATACTCCTAAACTCTGCCTCCACAAACTCCTAAACTCTGTCCCCACATACTCCTAAACTCTGCCCCACATACTCCTAAACTCTGCTCCCACATACTCCTAAACTCTGCCCCCACATACTCCTAAACTCTGTCCCCACATACTCCTACACTGTCCCCACATACTCCTAAACTCTGTCCCCACATACTCCTACACTGTCCCCATATACTCCTAAACTCTGCCCCACATACTCCTAAACTCTGCCCCCACAAACTCCTAAACTCTGCCTCACATACTCCTAAACTCTGCCCCACATACTCCTAAACTCTGCCCCACATACTCCGAAACTCTGCCCCCACATACTCCTAAACTCTGCCCCACATACTCCTACACTCTGTCCCCACATACTCCTAAACTCTGCCCCACATACTCCTAAACTCTGCCCCACATACTCCTAAACTCTGCCCCACATACTCCTAAACTCTGCCCCCACATACTCCTAAACTCTGCCCCACATACTCCTACACTCTGTCCCCACATACTCCTAAACTCTGCCCCCACATACTCCTAAACTCTGCCCCACATACTCCTAAACTCTGCCCCACATACTCCTAAACTCTGCCCCCACATACTCCTAAACTCTGCCCCACATACTCCTACACTCTGTCCCCACATACTCCTAAACTCTGCCCCACATACTCCTAAACTCTGCCCCACATACTCCTAAACTCTGCCCCACATACTCCTAAACTCTGCCCCCACATACTCCTAAACTCTGCCCCCACATACTCCTAAACTCTGCCCCACATACTCCTAAACTCTGCTCCCACATACTCCTAAACTCTGTCCCACATACTCCTAAACGCTGCCCCACATACTCCTACACTGTCCCCACATACTCCTAAACTCTGCCCCACATACTCCTAAACTCTGCCCCCACATACTCCTAAACTCTGTCCCACATACTCCTACACTCTGTCCCACATACTCCTAAACTCTGCCCCAACATACTCCTAAACTCTGCCCCACATACTCCTACACTCTGTCCCACATACTCCTAAACTCTGTCCCACATACTCCTAAACTCTGCCCCCACATACTCCTAAACTCTGTCCCACATACTCCTACACTCTGTCCCACATACTCCTAAACTCTGCCCCACATACTCCTAAACTCTGCCCCCACATACTCCTACCGTTGGCGATTCAAGTTTGACAGTTTTTCATTGAGGCATTGCCGGAAGTGGCCTCGCCTAATCGAGTCCTTCAGACCTTCCACGTTGATCTTCCGTCGGCATCTCCTCCGCTGCTGCCATCGCTTGGGGGGGCGAGTTTTCTGGGCATAATTGAACAGATGAGTCGGTGATCAGTCCAGCAATCATCAGCTGCTCGCACAGCCTGAGTGATGCAGATATCTTGCCGAATTCGGGCATGGACAATGGCACAATCGGTCAAGTGCCAGTGCTTGGATGGTGGATGTTGCCATGATGTTCTGTATTTTCTGTTCGAGCGGAACACGGTGTTGGCGACGATGAATCCGACGTCCCGCGCATTCAGTCAAGAGGAGGATGCCGTTGGAATTGACTTGTCCCACTCCTCCCTTGCCGATGGTTCAATTCCAGAGGCCTAAGTCCCTTCCAACTCTGGCATGAAACTTCACCGAGAAGAACACGTTTGCCTCTCACCGGAACGATCGTAACGACCCGCGCAAGGTCGGCGTCAAATTCTTCCTTTGTTTCGTCATCGGGGTCGATAGTCGGGGCCCTTTTGCGCTGATGGCAGTGCCGTTATTGGCTTCCCACCGGCTTGAGGCATAGTCGCTGATTCCGATGGGTGACTCGTCAAGCCGGCTGATGAGTTCGTCCTCGATGGCGAAACCAACTCTGCTTCCTTGAGCTCTTCCCCTGCTCGCCGAGTCTCGCCGAGGGCAGCCCCACGTCGTCAGTGTCGTGTTGCCTTGAGTTGCCCCACGTCGTCAGTGTCGCGTTGCCTTGAGTTGCCCCACGTCGTCAATGTCGTGTTGCCGTGAGTTGCTCCACGTCGTCAGTGTCGTGTTGCCGTGAGTTGCCCCACGTCAGTGTCGTGTTGCCTTGAGGAGTTCCCGGCAGCTCCACGTCAGTGTCGTGTTGCCCTGAGTTGCCCCACGTCAGTGTCGTGTTGCCTTGAGTTGCTCCACGTCAGTGTCGTGTTGCCTTGAGTTGCTCCACGTCAGTGTCGTGTTGCCTTGAGTTGCTCCACGTCAGTGTCGTGTTGCCTTGAGTTGCCCCACGTCGTCAGTGTCGCGTTGCCTTGAGGAGTTCCCGGGCCACGATTGCGGTGTGCCGTTTCTGGGCATTCACTTTGAGGGTTGTCCACGAGGCTCCAGACATTCCACGTCCCAAATTTGACCGTCTTGACTTTTTATCTTTGTCTCCGCCGCCCGCCGCCGCAGCAATGGCGGGCAGCGGCGGCGGTCCCTCCGGACGCGGGCATCCAGCCGGGAAGCACCCCAGGCGGACTTGGTTTAGGGTGACGTTTTCTCGCGGCCTTCCCCACCGTGCGGTGAGCAGAGTGGACCCTCCAATTGACTGCTCGGTCGCAATTGCAGCTGTCCAAACGCGCTGCTGTCTCTCCGGCGAGTGCTGGACGGCCGTCTTGTAGCTGCCGCTGGCGTGCTTGAGCGTTTGTGCTTTCGCTGCGTTGTGCCCACCTGAAGAAAGGACGCTTGTTAATTTTTTGATTTAAAGCTTTCGTGACTGCAGTGATTCATATTCTTGGTTCTTTCGGTAAAGTCACCACGTAGAAGGGAAATAATAAAATATATATAAAACAATAAAATTCTCACGACGTTTCGACTGTAACACAAACAGTCGAAACGTCGTGATAATTTGATTGTTTTATATATATATTTTATTGCTTCCCTCCAACGTGACTTTACCGAAAGAACCAAGAAATAAGGACGCTTGTGTTGCGCCCGAAACGTTGTGATTTAATTTAGTGTTCATTTATTTAGTTTTTTTACCTACGTGACTTTAGCAAAAAAAAACAAAGAGCATGAATCCTTGCAGTCACGAAAGCTTCAAATGTCGAATTGTAGCTAGAAGCTTCGAGACCTGACAGTCCTGCTCCCCGTCGTCGCTAGCCGGTCGCCCAAGGACTTGAATTGAACGTGCCGGGAGATGTTGTTCCTTTCATGCAAGACGCCTGCAGGCGATTTCTTTTATTGTGGAGAAGCCGTTTCTGAGCAGCCTCTACGCAATGCTTGACAGCACGGGACCATGAATCCGATAGCAAGGAAACCAAGGACGATTGGACGTATCGTTCTGCTGCAGCCTTCGCCCCGCCTTCACAGCCGTCCAGATGTTCACGTCTTCTTCCGCCCGCTCTGCCGTTGAGGACTTGTTAACCCATGGCTGGGGGCTTATTATAATGGAGGCCTATGCTTGCCGTGTCACAGCACCATCAAAGGGTACATGGCTTTTCAAGAGGAAAAACCATTGCACTCTGAGGTCCTAACCACACCGTGGTGGTGCTATCGCTGTTTGGTCCACGACTGCGCATTCATCAGGGTTGCCCCTGCTTATTTAGCAGCTATCCTTCACGGAAGGTCGGTCCACTATCCCGCTACCTGCGGACACGCTGGGCAGCAGTGCAGCGCTGCTGAGTAGTCACCTGCCCATAGTGGCTGCCCCTGTCTCTCTCTGTGTGTAGGGAACACGCTGAGTGAGTCACCTGCCCATGGTGGCTGCCCCTGTGTGTCTCTGTGTGTAGGGAACACGCTGAGTGAGTAACCTGCCCATGGTGGCTGCCCCTGTGTCTCTGTCTGTGTGTAGGGAACACGCTGAGTGAGTAACCTGCCCATACTGGCTGCCCTGTGTCTCTCTGTGTGTAGGGAACAAGCTGAGTGAGTAACCTGCCCATAGCGGCTGCCCCTGTCTCTGTGTGTGTGTAGGGAACAAGCTGAGTGAGTAACCTGCCCATGGCGGCTGCCCCTGTCTCTGTGTGTAAGGAACACGCTGAGTGAGTAACCTGCCCATGGTGGCTGCCCCTGTGTCTCTTTGTGTGTAGTGAACACGCTGAGTGAGTAACCTGCCCATAGCGGCTGCCCCTGTCTCTGTGTGTGTAAGGAACACGCTGAGTGAGTAACCTGCCCATGGTGGCTGCCCCTGTCTCTCTCTGTGTGTAGGGAACACGCTGAGTGAGTAAACTGCCCATAGCGGCTGCCCCTGTCTCTGTGTGTAAGGAACAAGCTGAGTGAGTAACCTGCCCATGGTTGCTGCCCCTGTGTCTCTCTGTGTGTAGGGAACACGCTGAGTGAGTAACCTGCCCATAGCGGCTGCCCCTGTCTCTCTCTGTGTGTAGGGAACAAGCTGAGGGAGAAACCTTCCCATAGTAGCTGCCCCTGTCTCTGTGTGTAAGGAACACGCTGAGTGAGTAACCTGCCCATGGTGGCTGCCCCTGTGTCTGTGTGTAGGGAACAAGCTGAGTGAGTAACCTGCCCATGGCGGCTGCCCCTGTCTCTCTGTGTGTAGGGAACAAGCTGAGTGAGTAAACTGCCCATGGCGGCTGCCCCTGTCTCTGTGTGTGTAAGGAACACGCTGAGTGAGTAACCTGCCCATGGTGGCTGCCCCTGTGTGTCTCTGTGTGTAGGGAACACGCTGAGTGAGTAACCTGCCCATGGTGGCTGCCCCTGTCTCTGTGTGTGTAAGGAACAAGCTGAGTGAGTAACCTGCCCATGGCGGCTGCCCCTGTCTCTGTGTGTAGGGAACAAGCTGAGTGAGTAACCTGCCCATAGTGGCTGCCCCTGTCTCTGTGTGTAAGGAACAAGCTGAGTTAGTAACCTGCCCATGGCGGCTGCCCCTGTGTCTCTCTGTGTGTAGGGAACACGCTGAGTAACCTGCCCATGGTGGCTGCCCCTCTTCTCTCCGCGCCATTCTGCGCTCGAGCCCACATGGAGTGGAGGTACCTGGTGGCGCACGTTGGGATCTCAGGTACCCACGGACACACGGGAAGGACACAGAGAGAGACATGGTGGGGGGGGGGAAGGTGACAGACACAGGCACGACGTTGGTGACGATGGTGATGATGTAATGGCGATGATGGTGATGATGTTGTGATGACGGTGATGATGGTGATGATGTTCTGTTGCTGTAGTGGTCGGGATCGGCTCGTGGTTTTTCCACATGACCCTTCTGTACGAGATGCAGGTGAGACTCGCTCACCGATACACTCACCCATTCACTCGCGCAGATTCACTCGTTCACCTAGTCACTCAACTATTAATTTACCCACCCATCCACTTGCTCACACGCACTCTCACCTATTCACTCACTTATTCATTTACCTACCCATTCACTCGCTCAGAGTTCCAGATCCGACGCGCGGATAGCCAAAATCGCGGATGGCCGGTTCGTGAATAACGAGGCAATATACTATCGGTGTCTGTTTGGTGTCTGACCATCTTAACGCCTCTTCTGTGTATGCCGGAACGGGTGAAGCCATGTTGTTTTTGTATCATTCATTGAATCTGTTAGTTGTGCACATAGCAGCATCATCATCACCATCATTGCCCGTGTAGAGGCACTGCCTTTGTGTGAAAGACACAACGGCAGAAAGATGTCTGGGGTTTGATCTTCAATGAGGCTGCTCGTGGTCCACCCTAACCCGCATCATCCACTGCACAAACCATGGCAGCAGCAGCAGCGGATACTTGATTCGCTATTTTGTATTTGACGCAGCTAAGAAGGCCCCACTGAGGTGCTGTGTCGCTCTTTGTCAGAAGCTACCTGGCCATCACAAACGATAGCAGCTCGACCAAGTCACTCATCATCATCATCGTCGTCATCCCGTGGACATTTCTAGGAGTAGCCAAATACTCTCAAGCGGATGCACAAATGGGAAATAAAAAAACGCTCCAGGAGTGGCGGTGACTGCGGCCATCCAGAAAAGAGAATGCACAGCACAGCTGAACGCCGAGTCGGAGGCTTTCGTGACCCCAATCTTGTCCTCAACAGAGGAGGTGTTTTTTTTGGGTTAGACCGTGTTTAATATAAACGTGCGTTGTCAAAACCCTCCACCACCCGACACAGCCAACGGGTAAGGTGTGTCACGTGAACAAAAACGCGCAAATTAGTTGCTAGTACAGCACTAACAGGTGCGTTGGAGAGTAAAACCACGACAGCGTTTGCAATTCGAGTACTGTGACGTTTCGCCGGTGATTACGACAACCAGCCTCATCAGGCGATAGCCAGATGAGGCTGTCACTCTCCAACACACGGGTTAGTGCTGAGTTATTAACGAATTGGCACGTTTTGTTCACGCGACAAACCTCACAAAGAATTGGCTGTGGTCGGGTGGTGGCAGCTTCAACGACACATTTATATTCTTAGCTCTTTCGGTAAAGTCACGTTGAAGGGAAACAATAAAATAATAAAATATATAAAAAACAATAAAAATTCTCACGACGTTTCGACCATAACACAAACGGTCATCATCAGGTGTGAAAACCAACGGCAAGAAACATTTGAAAGAAGCGGCGGTTAGCATTAATTTATTTATTTATAAACGGTGTTTGTATTTATTTTTAAAACGGTGTATTTATTTATTTATTTATTTTAAAACGTTAGCACCACAGGCAGCGATTTGACAGTTTATTTAGAAGGACGAGTCCATCTATGTTCTGAAAAGAGGAGGGGGGGAGACGAAAAATTAATGTATGCTGTCTGAAAGCCACCGTAAGCGTGAACAATCAATTAAGACCTGAAATGGTTTATCAAATCCTTCCAATGATTGCTAAGCCAGAATCCATCTTCTCGGTTGAATTTGTCTCTGTGCTTGTATATGTGGATAGCGTCATAAAACATTTATATTTGGGCGATGTAACCCAAACGCCTCTATTGCCGTACGTCACGCAATTACGCAACACCTGATCCACAAATACGAAGGGGGTGAAGTTCATGGTGATGACGACGTGAATGTTGATGTGTATGGTGATGATGTTTATGGTGATGATGTTGATGTCGGTCATGTTCTCCTAGCTGCTGGATGAGCTACCCATGATCTACACGTGCTGCGTCTTCGTGTACTGCCTGTGAGTACTGTATACACTGTGAACAGCCTGCGAGCACTGCACATACTGTACAACCCGCACACGGGGAACTGTACACACTGTACAAACCGCCTCTGGGTACTGCGCACTACCCGCGAGCATCGTACGTACTGTACAACACCGTATGCGAGAACTGTACCAACATTGCTCTCGAAGGACGTGGTGGGGGGCGACGGTCATTTCAAATCCCAGTCTCGTGCCGCGCGGAATGGCGCTAACGGCGACGATGGTTACTGTTGATCGTCCGCCCACGCCGTCGCAACGACACCGCGCGGAGGGGCCGCAAGCGACCGGACATCGCGACACGTTCCGTCGGGAGGATCCGGTGGTCGTCACCGCCACCGCCACCACCACCGTCTTCGTCATCGGCGGCCATCGGCGGCCATCGGCATCGGCGTGTCTGAAACCCGCGGCGACAATCCATTCATTCTGCAGCTCGGTTGGGGGGGAAAATGGCATCGCTGCTGCTTCTCTTCTCCACGGACTGGCGCCCAATCCGAGCAACGAGCACAAAGAGGATGGAGAAAGCGGCGCAGTGGCAGCGGCTGTCACCGAAGAGGCAATCGCTGCTTAGCAGACACACGAGGGAGGAGGAGGGGGGGAGGGAGGAGGAGGGAGGGGGGGAGGGGGGAGGTTGTGGGGGGAGATTGTGGGGGGAGATTGTAGGGGGAGATTGTGGGGGGAGATTGTGGGGGGAGATTGTGGGGGGAGATTGTGGGGGGAGATTGTGGGGGGAGGTTGTGGGGGGAGGTTGTGGGAGGTGGTTGTGGGGGGAGGTGGTGGGGGGAGGTTGTGGGGGGGAGGGAGGTTGTGGGAGGAGGGAGGTTGTGGGGGGAGGTTGTGGGGGGAGGGAGGTTGTGGGAGGAGGGAGGTTGTGGGGGGAGGTTGTGGGGAGGGTCGAGACTCCTCGCCTGCAGAGCCACCGCTGCAGGCCTGCCAACTGACCACGTTGTCGAGCCGTCTGGCCGGGGAGCGCCCAATGCACGGCTCTAAGTTGTCACGGAATGACATCGGCAGCCACGTTTTTCGAAAGCGATGCCCAAGGAGCAGCGGCCTCACACCACGACGTCATTGCCACAACGCAGTGACCCTCCCCTCCACCCCCCCACCCCCGTGCCTCCGTGGCGCGTCGCGAAGGGTTCCGCTGCACTGCGACCGCCCCATGAACCGGTCGACCCGGGGGTCTGTGCACGCCTCTCGCGACGTTCTTCGCTAATTGTCCATTCTGTTATCGTGCTCCGCCGATTGTCCACGCGGCAAAATCTCTCGTTGAGCGAGGGGTCTGCTGCCCCCAGGCCGGCGTCAAAAAGGAGCGGTCTAACGCCGCTCACGACAAAAAAGTTGCCCTGAGTCAACGTGAATATGCATGGAGCGAGACCCCGCCGAACATCGTGCCCAATCTCAAACGTGAGTACCACATCAGAGGTCACGGAGCGCCTGCGTCTGGAGCGGTCGCGATGTCGCCACGTCGCTGCCACGGGAAGATTCAACCCCGTTGCAGTCAGCGTACCGGAGGTGCCACAGCGCCGATGACCTCTACTGAAGATCACCGGTGACCTCCACAAGATCACCGGTGACCTCCACAAGATCACCGGTGACCTCTACAAGATCACCGGTGACCTCTACTGAAGATTACGGATTACTTCTGCAAAATCACCGATGACCTCTAGAAGATCATTGATGACCTCTACAAGATCACGGATGACCTCTACTGAAGATCACGGATTACTTCTGCAAAATCACCGATGACCTCTAGAAGATCATTGATGACCTCTACAAGATCACCGATGACTTCCACAAGATCACCACTCACCTCTACAACATCACGGATGACCTCTACAACATCACTGATGACCTCTACAACATCACGGATGACCTCTAAAGCATTACGAATGACTGGTGTACTGTGTACACTGCCTGTGAGTGCTTGTTGATGATGATGGTGATGATGATGTTAATGATGTTGATGATGATGATGTTAATGATGTTGATGATGATGATGTTAATGATGTTGATGATGATGATGTTTATGATGGTTTATGGTGATGTTGATGATTATGACGGTGATTATGTTGCAGGTTTCTCAGCTTTGAGAAGCCAAACTTCATGAATGTTCCATTCATCCTCACTCTGGTGGCGTTCAGCTGCCTCGTCACAGGGGTGAGGACATCACTAACATCAATATCAGCACCATCAACACCGCCATCCACGTCACGAACATCGCCATCAATAATGGCATCGACATCGCCATCACCATCAACAACATCACCATTGACATCGCCATCAACATCGCCAGCAACATCGCCATCAATTTTACCATCAATATCGCCATCGGCATCACCATCAAAAAATTACCATCAATATCGCCCTCAACATCGCCATCACCATCAACATCACCGTCATGTTCCAGCTTCAACAGCAGAGTCTCCAACTCCTCCTCAGACTGAGCAGCATTCACGAGATCATCAGCATACATAGCATGGGTTGACCAATAGGGAGGCATCCCTTTATCGCACCCAGGCATCGATCAGCTTCCAATTGTATCCGCGCTAGATGGACATTCCTCCAGTGCAGCCACGGAAAGATTCTCAAACTACGCAGTCAGAGAGATGTTGATTAGTGCAGGGGCCAAGATGGCATCCCTGTCGCAAACGCAAGGTGAACAGGGAATGGCTCCGACTCACGGCCACGTAGCTTTACCAGGACCTGCCCATCATCATGAAGGCCCTTAATGATTGTGAGCAGAGAGTCCGGAACCCTGGAAGAATTAATAAGCCAGAGAGCTGGCCTATTGATGGTATCATAGGCCTTGACCAGGCCAATAAAGCAGAGATGTCGATCCCTCTCCAGCAGCAGATGGAGAGAGAATATTGTGTCTGTGTAGGACCACCCCAGCCTAAAACCACATTGGGGTCCCGAAAGCCTCTCCTCAGTGTGCCTGGCAAGGGGCTTTTGAATAATCCCTGCCAGGACCTTTCCCGGAACACTGAGGAGGGAGATGCACCGGTAGCTGTTAAAATCAGAGCTGCCCCCCTTCTTAAAGAGGGAGACGACCAGGTCATCCTTCCAATCCTGAAAAACCAATCCTGTGGGCCACACATTTGTATTAATCTCACATAGGGCAGTCTGCACACAGATGCCACCCTCCCTCAGCATTTTGCTTGGGAGTCTCTGCCCAGCACTTTTCCATGCTCTCAAACTCTGGATCGCCCCTCATACTTTCTCAACAGATGACACCTCAGCCAACCACTCAGAAGGGTGGCTACTTCCTCCAATATTTGAGGCACGGCAGCCTCAGCAGGGTCACATCCCCACCGTGCCCCGTGATGTTGTCTGGGCTGAGGGAATTCCCCTCCCCCAAGACCTCACAGAAATGGTCAGCAAACCTGCAGACTTTTTCCTGGGGGTTGGAGATCGGATCAAAGTTCTTTCCCTGAATGATGGTGTGTTGCCAAAAGTTACTATTTTGATGTAGTTAATGAGTGATTTGTGATCGCCAGCTACGGATGCAGATTCCATATCCTCAGCCAGCTACCACCACCACTCATCCTATAGCGCCTCATGGCTCTACGAACCTCCGAGTGAAGGCTGCGGTAAGCCTCCTCATTTCGATGTTCGGTGCTGTAGATGGTGGGAGTGGGCCTGTCGCTTCCTCTCAGCCAACCAGAACACCTCCTCTATCAGCCGTGGGTCTCTGGAGAGGTTTGGACTGCGTGCCCAACACAGCCAATGCAGCTGCGTGAGCCACAGTCCTAAACCTCGCCCATTTCCCCTCAGCATCAGGAGGCGAAGATGCCAACCCCCAGCTGACGAACCGGCGCTGGAAGCCCACCCCCAATTTCCTCCCGCCGCGGAAAACGCCTTCAGCGCCGGCGGCAGGCGTTGCTGGACGCTGGCGGCCGCCGTGGGTACCGGGATCCTCCGCGCCCACCAAGACGTCGCCCGCCGGAAGCGTTCACAGCGGCGATGCCGCCGGCACCAGCCGGTTGGACGCCGTCGGCCCCGGGAGCGACGTGGCCCCCGGCGGCCGCCACCCGCCATGGCGGGGTACGTGTCTTCAGGCGCGTATCCATTTTCACGGGAGAGATGTCGGAGACGGATCTCGGAGGCGACACTTTTATTGGTGCAACACTCGGCGGTACAGCCCCCGACTCACTCAGGGCAACGGCCCTTCTATCGCCGCTGCCGGGGTGAGGTTCTGCCTCCGGGCTGAAGAGCCCTAACACGGGACCACGACTCTGGGTCCTCCGGCTACGGGCGCCTAGGGGATGCTACGCTAACCCGCACCCTAGCCAGGGTGCGGGTTTCCGACCACTGGCCCGCTCGGACCCGGCCCTCACAAGGACGTCGGGCCCGGGGGTTGCCAGGGTCTCACCACTGAGCCACACAGAGTCCCGGCCCTTACAAGGGCAGCGGGGCTAGGGGTCCCAGGGTCCTATCTAGCCGGTCTTCTTGCTTCTGTCTTGGACTGGCCCCGGACCCTTCCCGTGGTCCGGCTTTTATACCCAGCACCCGTACGTCAGCCCTGGCTCCGCCTACCTTCTAGAGTATTCCAAAGGGGGCTCTGAGGGATCCCAGGACACCCCGCAGCCCCCCACCTGCCCTTGGGCCAGGGATATAACGACTGCCCCTGCTGGACCCTGACTGCCCCTGCAGGTAAGTATACACAGCCCATCGATATCCCTGCACAAGTAATGATGACATTTTTGCTTGAAACCATAATTGAGCCGAGAGCAGGCCAATGTGGATTTGAATGGAGTCCTGGGTGTACACCCACCCCCATATTAAGTATTGCAGGCGCATCTTAAGGTGACAAGCCAATGGTCAGTGGGCAGATCAGCTCCACGGTAGGTCCTGGTGGGCTCGCATCCGCTGGTCCGTCACTATGTAGTCCAGCAGATGTTCTTGCTTGGACCCGGCATGCATCCATGATGTTGTGTGGATGCGCCGATGCCAGAACAGCGTGTTGGTAATTACAAGCCCATGGGCTGCACAGAAGTTTAGCAGCCTCGTAGCGTTGTGTTTGAGCTGATCTGGCCCATGCCCTCCAATCACTCCAGACCAGGTGCCAGCATCAGAACCTGCTCGGACATTAAAGTCACCCAACAGGATGACCCTATCCTGAGGGGTGTAAGTAACCACCACCACTCCTCGCCTCTGGTTGATGGGAAGGTGAGCCCACAGTAGCCTGGGGCTTAGCTTCCCACAAATCACCGCCACGCTCCCACACCCCTTCATTATTTTGTTCAGAAGAAGAGCCACTCCCTGTTGTTTGGCAGTCTCCTGCCCCAAGTAGAGGACTGTCCACCCCTTCATCTGACTGGAGCCAGAACCGGTCCACTGGACCCCTCTGTATTCCACACACAGATCCAGGCGGTACCGGTCCAGCTCCTGAAGAGGAGTGGCAGCCTCTACTCCACAGTGAGCGTTTGGACATTCCACGTGACCACCCACCGTAGTTTCCTGCTGTCTCTGAAAGAATCGCGAGGGGAGAGGTATAGACCTCGACAGAGAGGCATTGGGTCTCTCTCTGTGTGTCTCTGTGTTGTGTGTCTCTCTCTGTGTGTCCCTCTTTTGTCTCTCTCTGTGTGTCTCTGTGTTGTCTCCCTCTGCTTGTGTGTCTGTCTGTGTGTCTCCGAGTCTGTGTTTTGTCTCTCTATCAAATTTAGTTCTACCTGATGATGGTTGCTTGTGTTGCAATCAAAACGTCGCTCTTTATTTTGTCTTTCTTTCTACGTGACTTTACCGAAAGAACCAGAGAGTCATTCCTGCAGTCACGAAAGCTTCAAATCAAGTTTGGGAGGGGTATTGTCTGGCTCCACCAAATGTGGTTTGGCCAGAAGATGTCATAGATGCCTGTCCCAAACATATTTACGTATATACGTACATACGTACGTCCACCCAGGGAATCCGGGACAAGCTTATTTTGGTGTTCACCACCACGATTAATCGGTAAAGTGATTCAAAAATGGCGGGGTTACTAGCCCCTTGCATACTGTAATGGAGCACACACACACACACGCATACACACAAATTAACACAGCGACACATAGCCACACTCAGAGATACACAGGCAATCTCTTTGAAACACTTAACAGCAATTGAAACACCGCACATACTTCTACAGACGTATGCATTACACGCCTCGCCCGAACTGACTTAAATTAACACTTAGCCCACCACCGCCCTCGGCCGCTTAAATATAACCACAAGGCAAAGACGAGAGGGCGAGTGACGTCACCACACCTGCGCCTCTATTTAAGGAACGAAACAGGTGGACTTCTCCACCAATCTGGCTGTCGCCTGATGAAGCTGGTTGTAATTGCTGGCAAAGCGTCCTACTCAGACGGTAGATGTTTGTGGCTTGGTTCTCCAACACACAACCGGTTAGTGCTGTACCAGTGACGAATCGGCACGTTTCGTTTACGTGACAAAGCTTACAATTTGGCTGTGTCGGGTGGTGGAGGGTTTAACGACGCATTGATACTGTGTAGGAACCTCCTGGGTCACTACACCAGCAGCAGCCCGCAGGGGATTATTGTGTCCGTCCGTCCGTCGTGCATCCACAAATGGGAGGGGTGGGGCTGGGTGGGGAGGGGAGGGTGGGGAGGGGCTGGGTGGAGAGGGGAGGGGCTGGGTGGAAGGGGTGGGGCTGGGTGGGGAGGGGCTGGTCACCCCGTGGTGCCCCCCTTATAAAACTCAACGTTTCACCAACTCACGCCGGCTTGTGCCCGCCCTCACAGTGGGGCATATTGTGCGGAACGCACCACCACGTGGTGCCGCCGTTGACCCTGGCCATTGACCGACCAGCAACCCAACATTCCTACCAGCAGCTCCCTCTTCTTCAGCGGTCAAATCCAATAGACCTGCCTTGTGGATGATATTGGTCGGAGAAAGCCGACTTGGTAAGTATCCCCGATAGCCGTAACTGTGAGCGAGTAGCACCACTGAAGGCCGGCACGGCACATTTGGGGCCTAGTCGACCTAGGGGAGGCCCAGAATTCGCCACTGGTGTTGGTGGCCTTGAGCGGGAATCGAACTCAGGTGGCCGGGTTTGTGGTGGAGTGCGGCACCAACCCGGTGCCCTACATCACCACAGACACTCGCCACACTCGCCACTCATCACACTCACCACACTCATCACTCATCACTCACCACACTCATCACTCACCACACTCGTCACTCACCACATTCACCACTCACCACACTCATCACACTCACCACTCACCACACTCACCACGCTCATCACTCACCACTCACCACACTCACCATATTCACCACTCACCACACTCATCACACTCACCACACTCACCACTCACCACACTCATCACTCACCACACTCATCACTCACCACTCACCACACTCACACTCATCACTCACCACACTCACCACACTCATCACTCACCACACTCACCACACTCACCACTCACAACACTCATCACTCACCACTCACCACACTCATCACTCATCACTCACCACACTCATCACTCACCACACTCACCACACTCACCACTCACCACACTCACCACACTCATCACTCACCACACCACTCACCACACTCACCACACTCACCCCACTCACCACACTCACCACACTCACCACACTCATCACTCACCACACTCACCACACTCACCACTCACCACACTCACCACTCACCACACTCACCACACTCATCACACTCACCACTCACCACACTCACCACTCACCACACTCACCACACTCACCACACTCATCACACTCACCACACTCACCACTCACCACACTCACCACTCACCACACTCACCACTCATCACACTCACCACACTCACCACACTCGCCACTCACCACTCACCACACCACTCATCACTCACCACACTCATCACTCACCACACTCACCACTCACCACACTCATCACTCACCACACTCATCACTCACCACTCACCACTCATCACACTCACCACACTCATCACTCACCACACTCATGCTCATCACTCACCACACTCACCACATTCACCACTCACCACACTCACCACATTCACCACTCACGACACTCATCACTCACCACTCACCACACACCCCACTCACCACACTCATCACTCACCACATTCACCACTCACCACACTCATCACTCACCACTCACCACACTCATCACTCACCACACCACTCACCACACTCACCACACTCACCACACTCATCACTCACCACACTCACCACACTCATCACTCACCACACTCACCACACTCACCACACTCATCACTCACCACACTCACCACTTACCACACTCACCACTCACTACATTCATCACTCACCACACTCATCACACTCACCACACTCACCACTCACCACACTCACCACACTCACCACTCACCACACTCACCACTCACCACACTCACCACTCTCACCACTCTCACCACACTCATCACTCACCACGCTCACCACTCACCACGCTCATCACTCACCACACTCACCACACTCACCACTCACCACACTCATCACTCACCACTCCCCACACTCATCACTCACCACACTCATCGCTCATCACTCACCACACTCATTACTCACCACTCACCACACTCATCACTCACCACTCCCCACACTCATCACTCACCACACTCACCACTCATCACTCACCACACTCATTACTCACCACTCACCACACTCACCACTCACCACTCACCACACTCATCACTCACCACTCCCCACACTCATCACTCACCACTCCCCACACTCATCACTCACCACACTCATCACTCACCACACTCACCACACTCATCACTCACCACACTCACCACACTAACCACTTGCCTCACCACTCACGCAGCTGTCTGTGTCCCTGCAGATTTACCTCCTGTTGAAGGATCCAGTGTTTCATCAGGTGAGGACCTTCACACGGCTGGTGGTGCACCTAGCCTGGCACTGGGGATAACACTGATTTTATTGATCTTGATGACTTCAAGGGCGATGTTCATGGTGCGAGTGTTGGTGATGTTAATGATTGTGGTGATGTTGCTGTAGGTGATGTTGATGGTGGTGGTGATGTTGGTAGTAATGATGTTGATGATATTACCGTAGATGGTAATGTTGATGATGGTGGTGGTGATGTTGGTGATATTTGTGATGTTGGTGATGGTGGTGATGATGATGCCGATATTGATGGTGATGTTGATGTTTTTGTTGATGAGTGGTGATGTTGGTGATTGTGATCCTGGTGATGATGATGTTGTTGACATTGGCGATATTGATGATGATGATGGTGTGTAGGTGGTGGTGTTAATGCTGGTGATGATGATCATGATGCTGCTGATGTGAATGTTTTCGGGCGGGCTGCGAGAAACGGGCGGCCCACTTCCAGCGTCCACAACACGCAACGTCCACGCGTAAGCAGGCTTAGTGTCGTCTTCTCTTGGAGGTTCGGAGAGCCGTGCCGTTCTCTGAATTGGGTCCATGGTCCAGACCTTCCTCCCCCACCTCCCGAGACCCTGGCTGATGGAGGAGCTGTTCCGGCTGGATGAGAAAGAGCGACAGGCTCACGCCCACCGTCTGCACAGCATCCCACGTCGGAGAATGAGGAGGCTTTACCGCAAGCCTTCGCTCGGAGCTTCGGAGAGCCGTGCGGCGCTGCACGGATGGGTGGTGGTCGCGGGTCGCTGAGGAGATGGAGAATGCCTCGTTAGCCCACGATCACAAATCACACTTTCATTGCATCACAAACGTAACTTGCAGCAACCACACCGATCAACATGCTTAAGGGAAAGAACGGTGATCCGATCTCTGACCCCCGAGGGGAAATCCCTCGGTTCAAAAAACATCACGGGACAGGGTGTGGATGATCCTGCCGGAGCTGCTGTGCCTCAAATATTGGAGGAAGTAACCCCCCACAATGAGTGGCTGGTTGGCATCCCATCTCCTGAGAAAGTGCAAGGGGCGATCCAGAGTCTGAGACCAGGAAAGGCGCCGGGCAGAGATGATCTCCCAAGCGCAATGCTGAGGGGAAGGTGGCATCTGTGTGCAGACTGCCCTACATGATATCATCACGACAGTCTAGACCACTGGACGGGTTCCACAGGATTGGAAGGATGCCCTGGTGGTCCCCCTCTTTAAGAAGGGGGACCGCACAGACTGTAACAACTACAGGGGCATCTCACTCCTCAGTGTGCCGGGAAAGGTCCTGGCAAGGATTATTCAACATCGCCTTGCCAGGCACGCTGAGGAGAGGCTTGCGGAGCCCCAATGCGGTTTCAGGAAAGGGCGGTCCTGCACAGATGCCATATTTTCTGTTCGTCTGCTACAGCAGAGGCGTAGGGAATTCCAACAAGACCTACATCTCTGCTTTATTGACCTGGTCAAGGCTTATGATACCATCAACAGGCCAGGGATCTGGGTTGGTCTTCGTGCTTTCAGAGTCCCTGACTCTTTGCTCATGATCATTAAGGACCTTCATGATAGTGAGCAGCCCTGGCTAAAGCTACGTGGCCGGGAGTCGGAGACATTCCCTGTTCACCTTGGGATGTCCTCTGGCCACTACACTCTTTTATATATTTTCGGCCAGGTAGTTCGAGAAGCTTTCAATGGCTGTACGAGTAGAATTTCCATCTGGTACAGATACAATGGGAGACGGATTGATGCCCAGGTACGGTCGAGGGATGGCTCCCAATTGGTCAACCACGTTATGTATGCTAATGATCTGGTGATTGCTGCTCACTCAGAAGAGGAGTTGGAGGCTCTGAAGCTGGAGCTTGGGACTCAGAGGTGGGGTCTTACCACTAGCACCACTAAAACGAAGCACCTGCTTGGGTATTTGATGTTACCAAATGCGCCACCCCCTCCACTCCTCATGAGTGATGGAGCAGTTGTAGAGAGAGTGGAGAGGCAGTATGCTTATGACCAGCTCCGGTTTGGGAGCAGAGGTCTCACTGAATCGGCCTGAGTGGCATTATCCTTTTCATCAGCTGCATAACGCTGTGTGGAAACTACCTGGTCTGTCGCTTTGCACGAAGCTTCAGGTCATCTCGACCACAGTCATGCCCTCCCTTCTGTATGCTTGTGAAACGTGGATCTCTCTTATTGAACATTTGCGCCGGTTTGAAACATTTCAGCTGGTCTGCCTACGATCCATCCTGGGTTTAACCAGCAGGCTGGATTGTGTGAGGAACTCAAAAATCCTTGAAAGATCTGGACACAGTCTCATCGGTGAACTCCTTCGGCAAGCAAGGCTGCATTGGCTGGGTCATGTAGCCCAAGCAGCTTCTGTGTTTGGCTGGATCGAGGGGGCTAAACAGGCACGACACGGGCTAGAGAGGAAATGGACTGATGCGGTATAGAAGGATGTGGAGCTGAGTGGACTTGCCGATGACTGGTACCAGCGGTGTCAAGATCGGCCTCTGTGGAGGAGGCTCGTGAAGGATGCTGCTACTGGGCAGTTGGAGGCAGTCGCCCTCCAACAACAGCGGAGGGCGGAGGAGCGACGCTCACAACAACGAGCGGAGCGCCGGGCAAGCTAAAACACAGCAAGTTGCCACAGTAGGGAGCACAGGTGGTGGTTCATCTGCCAGTCGTCTCAGCCAGTCAACCCATGACACCTTGGTGTGTCCCGTGACCTGTCAGCGAGCCTTCGAAACTTCACGTGGCCGCAAAGTGCATCTGGCCTGGCACAAGCGCCGTGGTGACTTCATCGCTATTTAGTGGCCAACGGTGGTGGTTTTTGTTTGATGTTGATGGGGGTGGTGATGAAGTTGCTGTAGGTGACGTTGAACTTGGTGATGTTGATGGTGGTGGCGATGCTGTAGGTCAGGGGTCGGGAACCTTTTTGACTAAGAGAGCCATGAAAGCAAAAAATTTGGAAATTTATTTCAGTGAGAGCCATATAATATATTTTAAAAGTGAATTCAACTAAATGTCAGTATAATAAGCCTCTGAATTTATTCTTTTAAATAATGTTGTTATAACACTCACCATTAATGCGACTTCTGGTGCTGCATGGATTTGCTGATGTCTTTGTAGTCGGGTTGGTACTTGGTGAGGTTAAGCTTCATGCAAGCGTTGAGGCTTTCATCCGTTAAACGTGATCGTAGGTTGGACTTGATGTTTTTAAGATGTGAGAATGACTGCTCACATGCATACGTAGATCCAAACATGGTCAATACAGCAATACTCACACGCTGCAGTGTGTGGTATGTGACAGGAAGCGCGTTCCAAGTTTTGAGAATCAGCTGGTCTTCGGGTTGAAGTTTTTTCATTTCTGTCCACATGTGCTTGCTCGCCAACTCCGCTTTCTGTCGTGTGATTCTTTCCAAATCTTCATTCAGTGACTTGAACTTATTCACCCACATGTCTGAGGCCTTCAGGTCAGCCACTTCTGCTTCAAAATCTCTGACGGAGACACCAGGGATGTAATTCAGGTCGGCTGTGTTCAGTGAACACTCGTTTGGATGGGTGATGAACTTAAAAAGACGAGTGTGCTCACGAAATTCTCCAAAGCGTGCTTTGAAGGACTGTAGGAGACTGGATGTGCAGCCAGCTAGCTGGTGGAGATCAAGGTTTTGAATGGGCTCACTTGCTGTGCATGCATCTTTAAATTGGCTCAGTTTTTCAAAATGTAGTAAACGACCTGTTTCAAGATCCGTGATGAAAAGCTCCAGCTTGTTTTCAAAAGCAAATACAGCTTGTTGAAGGGATAACACTGTATTTCCAATGCCTTGCATTTTCACGTTGAGCTAGTTCAGATGTTCAGTCAGATCTACGAGATAGTAAAACTTGAGGAGCCACTCGGTGTCGGCTAGCTCAGGATGCCCGACGCCTTTCATTTCAAGGAAAGTCCGGATTTCGTTCAGGCAAGCCGCAAAACGGATAAGCACCTTCCCTCTTGACAACCAACGCACATTGCTGTGCAAAAGCAGACCAGGATAGTTATTTACAACTTCATCCAGCAGTGTTTTAAACTGGCGATCATTTAAGGCTCGGGCAACAATAAAGTTGATCACACGAATGACCAGCGACATCACTTCGCCAAACTGCCTGTCACACATCTGAGCACAAAGTGCCTCCTGGTGTATAATGCAACGGAAACTTAGGATGGGTCTATTTTCATGTTCACGGAGAAGCGCCACAAATGCTTTGTTTTTCCCCACCATACACGGAGCACCATCAGTACACACTGAGAGAAGTTTATCCATAGGTAGACTTTTTTCTTGAGCAAACTCCATGAAAGACTTGAATAAATCCTCACCTCTTGTGGACCCTTTTAATGGCAGAACAGCAAGACTTTCTTCGCGCAGTGTGTCACCAACAGCATATCTTGCAATCACGCTGAACTGCGACAAATGGCTCACGTCTGTTGACTCATCCAAAGCCAGAGAAAAGAACGGCGCTGCATTTATGTCCTTCACTTGCGTTTCCTCCACTTTGTTTGCCATCACGATGGTACGATCATGAACAGTTCTTGCCGACAGAGGCATGTCTTGTATCCGTTTGATTATCTTGTCTTTGTTCGGAAGATCATCAAAAAGTTCATTGGCTACATCCAGCATGAACGTTTTAGCATACTCGCCATCTGTGAATGGTTTTCCGTTCCTCACTATTGCTAAAGAACCAGCAAAGCTAGCCGAATTATAGTCACCTTGCCGGGTCCATACGCGGAGTTGCTGCTGGCTAGCTTGCACCCTGCTCAGAAGCTCTTGGCACGCTTTCTTTCTGCTGTCTCCCGCAGGGTATTTTGATGCAAAGGTAGCGTGGCGCGTGTCGAAGTGCCGCTTTACATTCGACCGTTTCAACGATGTAATTTTGTCATTGCAAATTAGACACACCGCAGAACCCGCTCTCTCCACAAAGGCGAATTCTTCGGTCCATTCGTCCTGAAATGTACGATACTCGTCGTCTTTTTTTCTTTTCGCCATCTTCTTCGTCGAAGGGTTAGCTTTGAGCTAATGACCGAGCAGACGCAGTCTCAGACTGATTCAAAAGGGGGCGTTTACCTGTTTTACCCAGCAACGGCAAACGTAGGCCAGTATCATCCAATTAAAATAATGGACAATTGCTCCTGCAGCCCTGAACAGGACATGCGCAGTGAAAAATCGATGGATGGATTAAAACAAGTGAGAATATTTTGTTTTATCTGCGAGCCATATGCAATCATCAAAAGAGCCACATCTGGCTCGCGAGCCATAGGTTCCCGACCCCTGCTGTAGGTGATGGGGGTTATGTTGATTGTGATGGCGGTAATGTTGCTGTACATTATCGTGGTGAAGTTGATGGTGGTGATGGTGGTCATGTTGATGGTGGTGATGGTGATTTTGGTAAATGGTGATGGTGGTGATGATGTTGGTGATGTTGCTGCTGCTGCTGCAGGTGATGTACGGGATGCTCGTCTGCTTCCTCGTCGTCCGTGGAGTCTACATCGCGTTCTGGTACCGAGTTCTCATGATGCCGGTTGTTGTGGAGGTTGTTGTGGTTGATGTGGTGGTGGTCGTGGTGGTCGTGGTGGTTGTGGTGGGAGTGGTATGGAGAGTCGGTTTTATCACATCGGCTTTCACGGCCAATATTATTCATAATAAAGGTTTTTGGGTTCGATTTTGTATCGCAACCCTCCATCACCCGACACGGCCAATCAGTAAAAAAAAGTGTCACGTTGGCAAAAGACAAAATAGTTCACTATTTTAGCCCACCGGTGTGTTGAGAGTGAATCCACGACATTTACAATTTCAGTCCGACGTTTCACTGGAAATTACATCCACCATCTTCGGGCGATTTGCACTATTTAAGACCGGAAGCCGATGGATGGCTTCACGATTCTAGCAAATCGCCCGAAGATGTTGGATGTGATTGCCAGCGAAATGTTGTACGACTCAAATTGTAAATGTCGTGTATTCACTCTTCAATACACCGGTGGGCTAAAGTAGTGAACTCTTTTGTCTGTGATGACGTTGCTGTAGGTGATGGTGGTGAAGGTGATTGCGATGATGACATTGATGGTGGCGATGTTGGTGTTGATGCTGGTGGTTGTGATGGGAGTGGTGTTGAGAGTGGTTGTGATGAGAGTGGTGTTGAGAGTGGTTGTGATGGGAGTGGTGTTGAGTGTGATTGTGATGGGAGTGGTGTTGAGAGTGATTGTGATGGGAGTGGTGTTGAGAGTGATTGTGATGGGAGTGGTGTTGAGAGTGGTTGTGATGGGAGTGGTGTTGAGTGTGATTGTGATGGGAGTGGTGTTGAGAGTGGTTGTGATGGGAGTGGTGTTGAGAGTGGTTGTGATGGGAGTGGTGTTGAGAGTGGTTGTGATGGGAGTGTCGTTGAGAGTGATTGTGATGGGAGTGGTGTTGAGTGTGATTGTGATGGGAGTGGTGTTGAGAGTGATTGTGATGGGAGTGGTGTTGAGAGTGGTTGTGATGAGTGTGGTGTCGAGTGTGATTGTGATGGGAGTGGTGTTGAGAGTGATTGTGATGGGAGTGGTGTTGAGAGTGGTTGTGATGGGAGTGGTGTTGAGTGTGATTGTGATGGGAGTGGTGTTGAGAGTGATTGTGATGGGAGTGGTGTTGAGAGTGGTTGTGATGGGAGTGGTGTTGAGTGGTTGTGATGGGAGTGGTGTTGAGAGTGGTTGTGATGGGAGTGGTGTTGAGAGTGATTGTGATGGGAGTGGTGTTGAGAGTGATTGTGATGGGAGTGGTGTTGAGTGGTTGTGATGGGAGTGGTGTTGAGAGTGGTTGTGATGGGAGTGGTGTTGAGAGTGATTGTGATGGGAGTGGTGTTGAGAGTGATTGTGATAGGAGTGGTGTTGAGAGTGATTGTGATGGGAGTGGTGTTGAGAGTGGTTGTGGTAGGAGTGGTGCTGAGAGTGGTTGTGGTAGGAGTGGTGTTGAGAGTGGTTGTGATGGGAGTGGTGTTGAGAGTGGTTGTGGTAGGAGTGGTGTTGAGAGTGGTTGTGATGGGAGTGGTGTTGAGAGTGATTGTGATGGGAGCGGTGTTGAGAGTGGTTGTGATGGGAGTGGTGTTGAGAGTGGTTGTGGTTGGAGTAGTGTTGAGAGTGGTTGTGATGGGAGTGGTTGTGGTAGGAGTGATGTTGAGAGTGGTTGTGATGGGAGTGGTGTTGAGAGTGGTTGTGATGGGAGTGGTGTTGAGAGTGCTTGTGATGGTAGTGGTGTTGAGAGTGGTTGTGGTAGGAGTGGAGTTGAGAGTGATTGTGATGGGAGTGATGTTGAGAGTGGTTGTGGTAGGAGTGGAGTTGAGAGTGGTTGTGGTAGGAGTGGTGCTCAGAGTGGTTGTGGTAGGAGTGGTGTTGAGAGTAGTTGTGATGGGAGTGGTGTTGAGAGTGGTTGTGATGGGAGTGGTGTTTAGAGTGGTTGTGGTTATATTGGTCTTGGACGGTTGTGGTTGGAGTGGTGTTGAGGTGGTGTCTGTGGTGGTTTTATTGTTGCTTTGATGGCGATGTGGTTCAGGAGCTCGATGCTCAATGTGGAGGTCCTGCAGCAGCAACAGCAACAGTTGCTGCTGTTGCTGTTGCTGCTGTTGTTGCTATTGTTGCTGCTGTTGTTGCTGCTGCTACTGTTGTTGCTATTGTTGCTGTTGCTGATGTTGCTACTGCTACTGTTGTTGCTGATGTTGCTGCTGCTGTTCTTGCTATTGTTGCTGCTGTTGCTGCTGCTACTGTTGTTGTTGCTGTTGCTGCTGCTACTGTTGTTGTTGCTGTTGCTGCTGCTACTGTTGTTGTTGCTATTGTTGCTGCTGCTGTTGCTATTGTTGCTGCTGTTGCTGCTACTGTTTGTTGTTGCTATTGTTGCTGTTGCTGCTGCTACTGCTACTGTTGTTGCTATTGTTGCTGCTGTTGCTGCTACTGTTGTTGCTGTTGCTGATGTTGCTGCTGCCACGACCAGAGGGCTTCATCAGAGACAGTTGGTGGAGTTTTGCCGTTCCTCCTCCATGAATCTCCATGAGTCTCTGTCTCCATGTGTCTCCATGTGTCTCTGTGTCTCCATGAGTCTCTATGGATCTCTCTGAGTCTCTGTGTCTCCGTGAGTCTCTGTGTCTCCATGAGTCTCTATGGAACTGTCTAAGTCTCTGAGTCTCCATGAGTCTCTATGAGTCTCCATGTGTTTCTATGTCTCCGTGAGTCTCTATGCGTCTCTCTGAGTCTCTGTGTCTCTCTGGGTGTCTATGGAACTGTCTGTGTCTCTGTCTCCATGAGTCTCTGTGTCTCCATGAGTCTCTATGGAACTGTCTGTGTCTCTGTCTCCATGAGTCTCTATGGAACTATCTGAGTCTCTGCGTCTCCATGGAACTGTCTGAGTCTCTGTGTCTCCATGTGTCTCTATGGAACTGTCTGTGTCTCCGTGTCTCCATGAGTCTCTATGGAACTGTCTGAGTCTTTGTGTCTCCATGAGTCTCTATGGAACTGTCTGTGTCTCTGTGTCTCCATGAGTCTCCATGAGTCTCCATGAGTCTCCATGAGTCTCTATGGAACTGTCTGAGTCTCTGTGTCTCCATGTGTCTCTATGGAACTGTCTGAGTCTCTGTGTCTCCATGTGTCTCTATGGATCTCTCTGAGTCTCTGTCTCCATGAGTCTCTGTGTCTCTATGTGTCTCAATGGAACTGTCTGAGTCTCTGTGTCTCCATGAGTCTCTATGGAACTGTCTGAGTCTCTGTGTCTCCATGTGTCTCTATGGATCTCTCTGAGTCTCTGTGTCTCCATGAGTCTCTATGGAACTCTCTGAGTCTCTATGTCTCCATGAGTCTCTATGGAACTGTCTGATTCTCTGTGTCTCCATGTGTCTCTATTAAACTGTATGAGTCTCTGTGTCTCCATGTGTCTCTATGTGTCTCCGTGAGTCGCTATGAGTCTCTATGGAACTGTCTGAGTCTCTGTGTCTCCATGAGTCTCTATGGAACTGTCTGAGTCTCTGTGTCTCCATGAGTCTCTATGGAACTGTCTGAGTCTCTGTGTCTCCGTGAGTCTCTATGGAACTGTCTGAGTCTCTGTCTCCATGTGTCTCTGTGTCTCCGTGAGTCTCTGTGTCTCCGTGAGTCTCTATGGAACTGTCTGATTGTACTGCCTCGTCTAATCGTTTTGTTTGCTTGCCCACCGTTGCACGACTGTTGTTGTCTTTAATTTTCCATTCATGAAGGAGATCTGTGCATTTGCCTGGTGCTGCTCTGATGTGGTTGATGGTCACCCCCTAATGGAACATCTTCGCCGGTTAGAAACATTTAGGCTGGCCTGCCTACGATCCATCCTGTGAGGAGCTCACAAATCCTTGAACGATCTTGGCAAAGTCCCATCGGTGAGCTCCTCCGGCAGGCAAGGCTGCGTTGCCTGGGTCATGTAGCACGCATGCCCAGCCACGGCATGCCTAAACAGCTTTTGTTCGGCCGGATCGAGGGGCCTAAATGGGCGCGGCACGGGCTAGAGAAGAGATGGAGTGATGTGGTACAGGAGGACGTGGAGCTGAGTGGACTTGCCGATGACTGGTACCAGCGGTGTCAAGATCGGCCTCTGTGGAGGAGGCTCGTGAAGGACGCTACTGGGCAGTTGGAGGCAGTCGCCCTCCAACAACAACGGAGGGCGGAGGAGCGACGCTCACAACAACGAGCGGAGCGCCGGGTGGCTAAAGCACAGCAAGTTGGCACAGTAGGGGGCACAGGTGGTGCATCAGCCAGTCATCTCAGTCGTCTCAGTCAGTCGACCCGTGGCATCTGGGTCTGCCCCATGACCTCCTGCCAGCGGGCGTTCGCCACTTCACGTGGCCTCAAGGTGCACATGGCCTGGCACAAGCGTCGTGGTGACGTCATTTAGTGGTGAATGGCGGTTGTTGTTGTTGAATAGGTGGGTTAGTGGGTGAGTTAGTGGGTGAGTGAGTGGGTGAGTGAGTGGGTGAGTGAGTGAGTGAGTGGGTGGGTGATTGAGTGAGTGGGTGGGTTGGTGAGTGAGTGAGTGAGTGGCATGTCTTCGTGGATGAGGAATCTCAAAGCCAGGAGGTTGCGGCGATGTTTCGGTCCGCAATGAGGTGTTTATTTTGGACGTCCGTGTTATTCTACTCTGTTCGCCAGAGTTCTTCCAGATCTGGGTGAGATCCTAGGATGGTGACAGCAGCCCCAGCTACGAGAGACCAGGCTGGAGCAGCGTGACTGACACTGAGTGGATCAGCGATGGTTGTGGTAGTTGTGGTGGTTGCTGTGGTTGTAGTAGTTGTGGTTGTTGCTGCTGTGGTGGTAGGAGTAATTGTGGTGATAGTGGCTACTGTGGTTGTTGTAGTCGTGGTGGTTGTTGTTGTGACTGTAGGTGTGATGGTTGTGGTTGTTGTGGTAAGGTAGTGGTGGTTGCTGTAGTGTCTGTGGTGGTGGTTGCTATGGTAGTGGTTGCTATGGTGATGGTGGGGAGCGGTAGCATAGTGCTTAGCACGCTGAGCTTTTAACCCGTGTACCCGATTTCGATTCCCGCTCATGGCCAACATCAGCGACGATTATCTGAACCGGTCCTGGGCCTCCCCTAAGTTGACGAGTACCTGGTGCGGTGTGTAAACATCGCCACTGGGGAGACAAAGGCGGCCGGGCGTGGTGTTGGTCACCCACCCCCTCCTGTGCCGTGCCGGCCTTCATAGGCGCTGCTACTCCCTAGTAGCACTTGCCCCAACAGTCTGTTAAGGATATGCGGGAGATCTTTGTCTTTGTGCGTGGTCCAATGTCCTCCCGTGCCTGCGAACCCTCATGTTGTGGTTGTTGCTATGGTTGTGGTTGCTATGGTGATGGTGGTGCAGGGTGCTCCCGTGCCAGCGAACCCTCATGTTGTGGTTGTTGTGGTTGTGGTGGTTGCTATGGTTGTTGCTATGGTGATGGCGGTGCAGGGTCCTCCCGTGCCTGCAAACCCACATGTTGTGGTTGTTGTGGTGGTTGCTATGGTTGTGGTTGCTATGGTGATGGTGGTACAGGGTCCTCCCGTGCCTGCTAACCCACATGTTGTGGTTGTTGTGGTTGTTGTGGTGGTTGCTATGGTTGTGGTTGCTATGGTGATGGCGGTGCAGGGTCCTCCCATGCCTGCAGCCTCTCATGTTGTGGTTGTTGTGGTTGTTGTGGTGGTTGCTATGGTTGTGGTTGCTATGGTGATGGCGGTGCAGGGTCCTCCCGTGCCTGCAGCCCCTCATGTTCTCCTCGCTCGCCTCCTTCCTCCTCGGCTTCATCCTCTGGAACCTCGACAACAACTTCTGCCCCACGTGGAGGTCAGGGGTCACCGGGTCACGAGGGTCTCGGGGTCACGCGGGCACGAGATGTTAATTGCCTCGCCTGGCATGCAGAAGGTTGTGGGTTCAATCCCGACCCTCTGACGCCTGCATATCAGGAGTTTGTATTTCTCTCTCTCTCCCCGTAGTCGCGTGTTTGGCTGCTGCTGTAAATGTCCACGCGATGAGCCACTTGGTCGAGCGATCATTTCTGATAGCCAGGCCGCTTCTGAACAAGAGCATAGTCGTCGTAACAGGTTCTTACCCTTCTTAACTAGCAACAAAAGTGACCGCAACACTTGCGGTCAAAATGCAAACAAAAAGACAACTCTGACAATTGATGCACTGTCCTTGAAATTGATTGGGCCACACCCGAGACAGCTTTTCTTCGAGCCTAGTCTCACGTTGGTGTTGGACCAGATGACGCCAAAAGGCGCACAACTCCAAGACTACGCACCATCAGAGTATTGAGAGCTCGGGGTGTAAGCATTTACATTCTGAGACCTACGTAACTCAGTGGGGCCTTGCGCGGTAAAATGAAAACATCGTTTAGTTTCGGGTGACGGGTTGCTGAGTTGCAGCTCACAGGGTCAGCACAGAGGTCAGACTGACATGGGGAATATTGAAGATGATGTTGATGATGTGGGCGAGGGGATACAGGTGATAGTGGTGTTGATTGTTGATGTCATGATCTTTGGAAGAACGTAATCAACTAGGTTATGCGCTGTGTGTTAACCGACTCTCTGTGTTGCATTGCATTACACTTCCTAATTTTACTAAATTAGTTTTCTCAAACTTCCTATTTCTCTGTCTACATGTTGCTGTGCTTGTTTGTTTATAAGTCCATTGTCGCTCCTCCAGCCGCTATGGGCAGGAATTCCACACAACTCTTTCATTGTTCTGAGCGTGTTTGTTTATAAGTCCATTGTCTCTCCTCCGGCCGCTATGGGCAGGAATTCCACACAACTCTTTCATTTCTCTACCCCAATCCCCCCCCCTCTCTCTGCCCTACCCCCTCCCCCTCTCTATTTAAGACCTCGACACAAAGGCGTTGTCTTTCTGTTTGTCTCTCTCTGCTTGTGTCTGTCTATGTGTCTCCATGTCTGTGTTTTGTCTCTCAAATTTAGCGACCTTTGTAAGAGCGTAATCAACCAGGTAGGGTGTTGACTGTTGTGTTAGCCGACTCTCTGTGTTGTACTGCATTCTGTTTCTAAGTTTGCTAGGTTTGTTTTCTCATTCATTCTTACCTGATGATGGTTGCTTGTGTTGCAATCGAAACATCGTATTCTATTATTAAATGTATTTTCCTTCTATGTGACTTTACCAAAACAACCGAAGAGTAATTCCTGCAGTCACGAAAGCTTCGAATCAAAGTTTGAAACGTCGTGATTTACTTTATTTTATACCTACGTGACTTTTCCGAAAGAACCAAGGAGTATAGTTTGAGCTTTTATTTGGCCAGATAGAGGGGGCTGAACGGGCGTGGCACGGGCTTGAGAAGAGATGGAGTGATGCGGTACAGGAGGACATGGAGCTGAGTGGACTTGCCGATGACTGGTACCAGCGGTGTCAAGATCGGCCTCTGTGAAGAAGGGTCGAGAAGGACGCTACTGGGCAGTTGGAGGCAGTCGCCCTCCAGCAACGGGGGGTAGAGGGGCGATATTTACAACAACGAGCAGAGCGCTTTGCGGCTAAAACACAGCAAGTTGGCACAGCAGGGGGCACAGGTGGCGGTGCATCTGCCACTCATCTCAGTCAGTCGACCCATGCAGACCTGCAGGGTCTGTCCGGTGACCTCCAGCCAGCAGGCATTTGATGCTTCATGTGGCCGTAAAGTGCACTTAGCCTGGCACGAGCGCCATTGTGAAATCACCGCCACCTAGTGGCGAATGGCTGTTGTTGTGTGCGCGACGAGGCGAGTGTGACGAGGTGGGTGTGACGAGGCGGGTGTGACGAGGCGGGTGTGACGAGGCGGGTGTGACGAGGCGGGTGTGACGAGGCGAGTGTGACGAGGCGGGTGTGACGAGGCGAGTGTGACGAGGCGGGTGTGACGAGGCGAGTGTGACGAGGCGGGTGTGACGAGGCGAGTGTGACGAGGCGAGTGTGACGAGGCGAGTGTGACGAGGCGAGTGTGACGAGGCGAGTGTGACGAGGCGAGTGTGACGAGGCGGGTGTGACGAGGCGAGTGTGACGAGGCGAGTGTGACGAGGTGTGCAGGAGGGTGAGGGTCTCCATGCTGCCCACGTCTCTGGGCGCCGTGTCGCAGCTCCACGCATGGTGGCACCTCCTGTCGGGCCTCGGCTCGTACCTGCACATCCTGTTCAGGTGGCGTCGCCAACATCACCAGCATCACCGTCGCCAACATCACCAGCATCACCGTCACCAACATTATAATCACCGACATAATCAAAATCACCAAAAACATCATCACTAACATCCTCATCATCATCAATATCCCCAACATTATCAACATCATAATCAACAACAACAGCTACAATTCGACACTTAAGTGTCAGTGACATCACCACGGTGCCTGTGCCAGGGCTGGTGCACTTTGAGGCCACGTTAAGTGTCGAAGACTCGCTGACAGGAGGTCACGGGACAGACCCAGCAAGTGCCATGGGTTGACTGACCCAGATGGCTGGAAGATGCACCATCTGTGACCCCTACTGTGCCAACTTCCTGAAATTTAGCCGCCTGGTGCTCACCTCATTGTTGTGAGTGTCACGCCTCTGCCCTAGATTGTTGTTGGAGGGCGACTGCCTCCAACTGCCCAGCAGCGTCCTTCACGAGCCTCCTCCATAGAGGCCGACGTTGACATCGCTGGTACCGGTCATCGGCAAGTCCACTCAGCTCCACGTCCTCCTGTACCACATCACTCCATCTCTTCTCTAGCCCGTGTCATGCCCATTTAGCCCCCTCTATCCGGCCAAAAATAATCCACTTTGGCATGGGGTGACTGGAGATGCGGGTGACATGACCCACTCAACTCAGTCTTGCCTGCTGAAGGAGCTCACTGATGGGACTGTGTCCAGATATTTCAAGAATGTGTGAGCTCCTCACACAATTTAGCCTGGTTAAACCCAGGGTGGATTGTAGGTAGGTCAGCCTGAATGTTTCTAACCAGCGCCGATGTTCCATTAAAGGGGTCCACGTTTCACAAGCATAGAGAAGAGAGGGCATTACTGTGGCTGAAAAGACCCGAAGCTTCGTGTGGAGTGACAGACCAGGTAACTTCCATAACAGCTTTATGCAGCCGAGGAAAAGACAATGCCACCTGACTGATTCGGAGTGAGACCTCTGCTGTGAAACTGGAGCTGGTCATAAGCACACTGCCCAGGTATGTAAAACGCTCCACTCTATCCAACCCTGCTCCATCACCAATGGCAAGTTGAGGGGATGGAGTGTTTGATGGCACAAAATACCCAGGCAGGTGCTTAGTTTTGGTGGCGCTGATGGTAAGACCTCCCCTCTTCGTGGCACGCTCCAGTCTCAGCCGCACCTCCAACTCCTCCTCTTAGGGAGCAGCATTCAACATATCATCAGCAAGCCTCTCCTCAGCGTGCCTGGCAAGGCGATTTTGAATCATCCTTGCCAGAACCTTTTCCCACACACTGAGGAGAGAGATGCCCTCGTAGTTGTTACAATCAAAGGGCACCCTTCCAATTCTGTGGAACCCATCCTATGGTCTACACAGTTGTACACGCAAATGCCACCTTCCCTCAGCATTTCGCTTGGGAGATCCTCTCTGCCCGGCGCTTTTCCTGGCCTAAAACTCTGGATTGCCTTCTGTACTTCCTCAGCAGATGGCACCTCAGCCAAACACTCAGAAGGGGGGTGGCTTCTGCCAATATATGAGGCACAGCAGCCCCAGAAAACTGGTCCCCACCTTGCCCCATTTTATTGCCTTTACTGAGGGAATTTTCCTCGACCAAGACCTGATAGAAATACTCTGCAAACCTGCATTTAGTTCCCGGGGGTCAGAGATCCGATTATCGTTCTTTCCATTAAGGACGGTGATAGGTGAGGTAACTGCCAGTAACTTTTTGGATGGATTTAAAGATTGATTTGTGTTCGCGGGCTCCCGAGGCAGACTCCATCTCCTCAGAAATCCGCGAACCCCCACCCATCCTTGTAGCGCTGCACGGCTCTCCGAACCTCCGAGCGAAGGCTGTGTGGTAAGCCTCCTCATTCTTCGACGTGGGATGCTGTGGACGGTGGAAGTGTGGGCCTATCGTTTTTTCTCAACCAGCCAGAGCACCTCCTTCAGCCAGGGCATCTGGAAAGGTCTGGACTGCATTCCCAATGCAACCATTGCAGCTGCATGAGCCACAGACCTGAACCTTGCCCATTCCCCCCTCGGCATCAGGAGGAACGATACCAACCCCAGCTGAAAGCTTTGTTGAAATTCCTGCTTTAAATTATCCTCGGCTCGCTGAGACCAGACTCCTGTGAGTTCTAATGGAGCCCTAGATGGACACCCACCACCGGAGTGGAAGAATGTCAGGCGCATCTTAAAGATGACAAGCTGATAGTCAGTGGGCAGATTTCAGCTCCTTGGTTAGTCCTGGTGTCAAGGACATGGGCCGGCACCCACTGGGCCATCATTATATAGTCCAGCAGATGTTCTTGCTTGGACCCCGCGTGCATCCATAATGTTTTGTGGATGCGCCGATGCCCGAACATCGTGTTGATAATGACAAGGCCATGGGCTGCACAGAAGTCGAGCAGCCTTCTACCGTTATTAATCTCATCTGGGGCATGCCTTCCAATCACTCCGATCGAGGTGTCTGCGTCATGACCGACTTAGGCATTAAAGTCACCCAACAGGATGACTCTTTCCCGAGGGGCCAATTTAGCTAGCACTTGGGACAGGTTAAAGAAGGCATCTGACTCATCGGCCTTGCCTGCATCCCTCCACGGATGTTTATCTTAGGTGGGGGCGTAAGCAACTACCACCACCATTCCTCACCTTGTTGAGGCTCACAGCAACCTGGGACCTCACCGCCATGCTCACACACCCCCTTCATTATTTTGTTCAAAGCAAAAGCCACACCATGTTGTTTGGTAGTTTCCTTCAACGAGTGGACCGCTCATGAAGACTGGGTCCAGAACTGGTCCACCGGACCTCCTGTGTTCCAGAGGTCCAGGCGGTACCGGTCCATCTCCTGACAGAGGAGTGGCAGTCTCGCCTTCAAAACGGGAGTCCGAACATTCCACGTCGCCAATCGCAGTGTTCTCCTGTTCCTGGAGGAACCCCGAGGTGGGGGTGGGGTTCAGTCTGGCTCTGCCAGATGGAGTTTGGCCAGAAGGTATCATGAAGGCCTGTCCCCATGGGGCCTCGCGCACGAGCTTATTGCAGTGTTTTCATCGTGATGCTTAGTAGAATTGCCAGGTGCAGGGGGTTACCAGCCCCTCGCACACCCATTTTACTGCCAAATGTCACCAACATCGTCCCCTTCACCGGCATCAATACCATCGCCAGCAAAGAGGTCTCAGACGCGTCTTCTTGTCTCTCCCCCCTCCGTTGTGTTTGCAGCCTCAGCGCACGTCTCTTGTATCTGAAGAAACGACCCCGAGTCACGGTGAGGGTGCTCACTCAGTGGCTCCATGCCCCCGTGTAGGACGAGGGGACGGTGGGTGGGTGGATAAGTGGGTGGGTGAGTGGATGCGTGGATGGGTTAGTGGATGGGTGGGTGCCGATTCAAGGCATCGTATGTTGATTAACTGTGGTTCGACAATCTGGAAATATGTACGGAATATTTTCAGATTCCTACAATCCATTGTCATTTCTATAACAATGAACCCCCCTCTGGCCATTGCACCTGATAGGCTCACGGTGATGACGTCACACCATTGCTCGATGATTTAAGACCAGAAGCAGGAAGACTTCACAATTCTGGCAAATCTCCTGAAGCTGCTGCTTTCAATCACCAGCGAAACATCACAGTACTCAAATTGTAAATGTTATAGTGGGTTTACTCTCCAACACCGGTGTGCTGAAGTAGCAACGAATTGACACGTTCTGTTTAAGTGGCAAACTTTACTGGTCACGTGGTAGTGGGTTAACGACGTATTTATGCTTACACAATCTAACCCAAAAACCTTTATTATGAATATTGGTCTCCAAAGCCTACGTGTTAAATTTAGTGTTAATCACCGAGGCTCACCGAGCGAGGCGAAGGCTCATGTGGCTCATGTAGGGTCCGGTGTTAATCAAGAGGCTCACCGAGTCTGAGGCTAGCGTGGGGTTCAGTGTTAACCTGAGACTCACCGAGTCTCAGGCTAGCGTGGGGTTCAGTGTTAATCTAAGGCTCACCGAGTCTCAGGCTAGCGTGGGGTTCAGTGTTAATCTGAGGCTCACCGAGTCTAAGGCTAGCGTGGGGTTCAGTGTTAATCTGAGGCTCACCGAGTCTAAGTCTAGCGTGGGGTTCAGTGTTAATCTGAGACTCACCGAGTCTCAGGCTAGCGTGGGGTTCAGTGTTAATCTGAGGCTCACCGAGTCTCAGGCTAGCGTGGGGTTCAGTGTTAATCTGAGGCTCACCGAGGCTCACCGAGCCAGGCTAAGGCTGCTCTAACGCGAATGTCTCTCTGCAGTGGCTGCTGGGGTTCTGGCCGGTGCTGTGCGTGGATGGGAAGATCGATGCCTGAACTCCCCCCCCCCCAACCCGTGGAATGGAGCGATCCACGTGCCTGGGACAAGACTTTGCGTGGGAGAAACCAACTCGGTGCCTGGGGGGGGGGGGGGGGGGGGGGGGGGTAGGCAGCAGTGGGAATATAACGACACTATTTTATTTTCTAGCTAAAGCCCACTGAGATATGTGGCATCTTTGTCAGAAGTGACCTGGCTATCACAAACGATAGCTCGATGAAATGGCTCATCGCGTGGAAATGTATATCAGCAGCCGAACACTCGAAACGCGTGACCTTGATTCTAAATGTGGAAGGAAAAGCCGGAGGACCTGGAGAAAAATATCGCGACCTCGGAGAGAGACGCAGACTCCAAAAATAGACATCAGGCGTCAGGGTCGAATCCACGACCTCCTGCATGCCAGGCGAGGGAGATAACATATCATCGCCACCGTGAATGCGTGGGATTTGCAAATTAATCAATTTGAGGCCATGCTCAATCCACTGCTGAATGAGGCCCACCTCGTGCCCGTGTCTGGCCACGGAGGGTTTTCCCCTCTCACCATGCGAAGTGTCACACTGGGTGTGGTGTGCTGGGTAGTAAAGTGGCATGGTGGGTGCGGTGTGCTGGGTAGTAAAGTGGCATGGTGGGTGTGGTGTGCTGGGTAGTGGAGTGACACGCTGGGTGTGGTGTGCTGGGTAGTGACGTGGCATGGTGGGTGTGGCGTGCTGGGTAGTAAAGTGGCACGCTGGGTGTGGTGTGCTGGGTAGTAAAGTGGCATGGTGGGTGTGGTGTGCTGGTGGGTAGTGGAGTGGCACGCTGGGTGTGGTGTGCTGGGTAGTGGAGTGACATGGTGGGTGTGGTGTGCTGGGTAGTAAAGTGTCACGGTGGGTGTGGTGTGCTGGGTAGTAAAGTGGCATGGTGGGTGTGGTGTGCTGGGTAGTAAAGTGGCATGGTGGGTGTGGTGTGCTGGGTAGTGGAGTGGCACGCTGGGTGTGGTGTGCTGGGTAGTAAAGTGACACGCTGGGTGCGGTGTGCTGGGTAGTAAAGTGACACGCTGGGTGTGGTGTGCTGGGTAGTAAAGTGGCATGGTGGGTGTGGTGTGCTGGGTAGTAAAGTGACACGCTGGGTGTGGTGTGCTGGGTAGTGGAGTGGCACGCTGGGTGTGGTGTGCCGGGTAGTGGAGTGGCATGGTGGGTGTGGTGTGCTGGGTGCGGTGTGCTGGGTAGTAAAGTGGCACGCTGGGTGTGGTGTGCTGGGTAGTGGAGTGGCATGGTGGGTGTGGTGTGCTGGATAGTGGAGTGGCATGGTAGGTGTGGTGTGCTGGGTAGTGGAGTGGTGTGCTGGGTGCGGTGTGCTGGGTAGTAAAGTGGCATGGTGGGTGTGGTGTGGTGGGTAGTAAAGTGGCACACTGGGTGTGGTGTACTGGGTTCGGTGTGCTGGGTGTGATTCCTCGCCCACTGGCCCTGGCTGACAGGGCCATTATGAACCTCCTGTGCCTGGCACACTAATTCGGTCCTGGGCCTCCCGTAGGTCAACTCAGCCTTGACCCAGGCACTTGTTGTTAACGTGCAGGCGGCCCCGGCCGTGCATCGCTGTTGCTGACCAACGCCACAATAAACGGACTCCCCGAATCGCGCCGCTGCTGCTTCGTGATTCACGCGATTAACACGACCGCTGCTAAAGCTCTCAACCAGTCTTAGTTTACCAGCTAAGGCGGCACCACGTGGCTCTCTGTCAGAAGCGACACCTGGGCCAAACACGATAGCCCAAGGAAGTGAATCATCACCACGTGGGAAATTGATAGCAGCAGTCAAATACTCTGAGCGCGTAGACACAGACGCATAGATAGCTACATACTCAACTAAAATGTAACTGCTGCGTTTTATTTGACCAGGTAAGAACCCAGACTGAGCTGCTTTTGTAGCTCTTTGTCAGAAGCGACCCTGGGCCATTCACAAACGATAGCCGAATTTTGATTTAAAGCTTTTGTGACTGCAGTGATTCATATTCTTGGTTCTTTCGGTAAAGTCGCCACGTAGAAGGGAAACAATAAAATGAGAAAACATATATAAAACACGATAAAATTCTCACGACGTTTCGACAGCAACGCAAGCAGTCATCATCAGGTGTGAAAACACGTGATGACGACTGCTTGTGTTGCAGTCGAAACGTCGTGAGAATTGTATTGTTTTATATTTATTTTATCATTTAATTGTTTCCCTTCTACGTGGTGACTTTGCCGAAAGAACCAAGAAAAATGATAGCTGCTCAACGAACTGGACTATTATCACCACCATCATCATCATCATGCACGTGGAAATCTACAGCAGTAGCCAATTACTCTGAACGCGTGACCTTGAGGGTACAAACCGGAGGATCCGGAGGGATGGAGAACTGCAGAATCCAAATCGACATCGGCAGGCGATGGGAGTTAACGTCTCCTAGCCACCACGTTCGCTCACGATTCACAGTCACGATTCACATCGACGCTGTTTATTCCAGGGTTAGGTGGGGAGGGAGTGCTGCTGCTGCTGTTGCGTTCTCCACTGCTGGATGGTTATGCTGGGCGTGGTGCAAAAAAGGGAAGCCCGCGGATGAAGCTGTCCAGCTTCTGCTTGAAGAGTTCACTCCTTACCACCTCCCGCTGGTTCACCAGAGGGTTCCTCACCACCAGCTCCACCACAAACTACTCACCACCACGGCACACACACAACACAAAACTACTCACCACCACGGCACACACACAGTACAAACTACTCACCACCACACAATACAAACTACTCACCACCACCACACACTACAAAACTACTCACCACCACACACTACAAACTACTCACCACCACAATACAAAACTACTCACCACCACCACACACTACAAAACTACTCACCACCACAATACAAAACTACTCACCAACACACACTACAAACTACTCACCACCACACACTACAAACTACTCACCACCACCACAATACAAAACTACTCACCAACACACACTACAAACTACTCACCACCACACAATACAAAACTACTCACCACCACACACTACAAACTACTCACCACCACACACTACAAAACTACTCACCACCACACACTACAAAACTACTCACCACCACACAGTACAAAACTACTCACCACCACACAATACAAACTACTCACGACCACACAGTACAAAACTACTCACCACCACACACTACAAACTACTCACCACCACACACTACAAACTACTCACCACCACACAGTACAAAACTACTCACCACCACACAGTACAAACTACTCACTACCACACAGTACAAAACTACTCACCACCACACACTACAAACTACTCACCACCACACACTACAAACTACTCACCACCACACAGTACAAAACTACTCACCACCACACAGTACAAACTACTCACTACCACACAGTACAAAACTACTTACCACCACACACTACAAACTACTCACCACCACACACTACAAACTACTCACCACCACACACTACAAAACTACTCACCACCACACACTACAAATTACTCACCACCACACAATACAAACTACTCACCACCAGCTCCACCACAAACTACTCACCACCACGGCACACACACAACACAAAACCACTCACCACCACACAATACAAACTACTGACCACCACACAATACAAAACTACTCACCACCACACAGTACAAACTACTCACCACCACACAATACAAACTACTCACCACCACACAGTACAAAACTACTCACCACCACCACACAATACAAACTACTCACCACCACACAATACAAACTACTCACCACCACACAATACAAACTACTCACCGCCACACAATACAAAACTACTCACCACCACCACCACACAATACAAAACTACTCACCACCACACAGTACAAAACTACTCACCACCACCACACAATACAAAACTACTCACCACCACACACTACAAACTACTCACCACCACACACTACAAAACTACTCACCACCACACACTACAAAACTACTCACCACCACACAGTACAAAACTACTCACCACCACACACTACAAAACTACTCACCACCACACAATACAAACTACTCACCACCACACACTACAAACTACTCACCACCACACACTACAAAACTACCCACCACCACACACTACAAAACTACTCACCACCACACAGTACAAACTACTCACCACCACCACCACACAATACAAAACTACTCACCACCACACAATACAAAACTACTCACCACCACCACACAATACAAAACTACTCACCACCACACAATACAGAACTACTCACCACCACACACTACAAACTACTCACCACCACACAGTACAAAACTACTCACCACCACACAGTACAAAACTACCCACCACCACACAGTACAAAACTACTCACCACCACACAATACAAAATACTCACCACCACCACACACTACAAAACTACTCACCACCACACAGTACAAAACTACTCACCACCACACAATACAAAACTACTCACCACCACACAATACAAAACTACTCACCACCACACAATACAAACTACTCACCACCACACAATACAAAACTACTCACCACCACACACTACAAACTACTCACCACCACACAATACAAAACTACTCACCACCACACACTGCAAACTACTCACCACCACACAATACAAAACTACTCACCACCACCACACAATACAAACTACTCACCACCACACACTACAAAACTACTCACCACCACACACTACAAAACTACTGACCACCACACAATACAAAACTACTCACCACCACACAGTACAAACTACTCACCACCACACAATACAAACTACTCACCACCACACAATACAAAACTACTCACCACCACACAGTACAAAACTACTCACCACCACACAGTACAAAACTACCCACCACCACACAGTACAAAACTACTCACCACTACACAATACAAAATACTCACCACCACCACACACTACAAAACTACTCACCACCACACAGTACAAAACTACTCACCACCACACAATACAAAACTACTCACCACCACACAATACAAAACTACTCACCACCACACAATACAAAACTACTCACCACCACACAATACAAAACTACTCACCACCACACACTACAAACTACTCACCACCACACAATACAAAACTACTCACCACCACACACTGCAAACTACTCACCACCACACAATACAAAACTACTCACCACCACCACACAATACAAACTACTCACCACCACACACTACAAAACTACTCACCACCACACACTACAAAACTACTGACCACCACACAATACAAAACTACTCACCACCACACAGTACAAAACTACTCACCACCACACAATACAAACTACTCACCACCACACAATACAAAACTACTCACCACCACACACTACAAAACTACTCACCACCACACAATACAAAACTACTCACCACCACACAATACAAAACTACTCACCACCACCACACACTACAAAACTACTCACCACCACCACACACTACAAAACTACTCACCACCACCACACACTACAACCTACTCGTTACCACGCGAGCACCTATGACGGCTGGCACGGCACCCACAGGCGGTGGGTGGCCAGCACTGACCACCTTTGTCTCCCCAGTGGCGACGTTTACACACCGCATCAGGTACTCATTTGAGGCTGAGTCGACCTAGGGAAGGCCCAAGACCAGTTCAGACATTCATCACCGGTGGTGTTGGCCATTAGTGGGAATCGAACTTGGGCCGCCGGATATGTAGGTCAGCGCGCTAACTGCTGCACTCCCGCTCATCCTACTAGATGACTCGCCACAAGGTGCACTTTGAGGCCAAGTTAAGTGTCGAAGGCTCACTGCTGCCAGGACATCACGGCATAGTCCCAGCAGGTGCCGTGGGTCGACTGACTGAGACGACTGGCAGATGCACCACCACCTGTGCCCCCTACTGTGCCAACTTGCTGCGTTTTATCCGCCCCGGCGCTCCGCTCGTTGTTGTGAGCGTCGCTCCTCCGCCCTCCGTTGTTGCCGGAGGGCGACGGCCTCCAACTGCCCAGTAGCAGCGTCCTTCACGAGCCTCCTCCACAGAGGCCAATCTTGACACCGCCTCCACATCCTCTGGTACCACATCAATCCATCTCTTCTCTAGCCCGTGTCATGCCCGTTTAGCCCCCTCTATCCGGCCGAACAGAAGCTGCTTGAGCATCCGGTGGCTGGACATGTGGGTTACATGATCCAGCCAATGCAGCTTGGCTTGCCGGAGTAGCTCACTGATGGGACTGTGTCCTGGTTCAACCCAGGACAGTCTGAATATTTTTAACTGGCGCAGACGTTCCAAGCACAGGGAAGGTAGAGAATGACTGTGGCCGAGAAGACCCAAACTTCGTGCGGAGCGACAGACCAGGTAGCTTCCACGTGGCGTTACGCAGCCGATTAAAAGGTAATGCCACCCGACTGATTTGGTTTGAGACCTCTGATGGGACTGCGTCCAGATCTTTTACGAATCTGAGCTCCTCACACGGTAATCCATCCTGGGTTTAACCCCAGGATGATATCGTAGGCAGGGTCAGCCTCAATGTTTCAAACTGGGCGCCGATGTTCCATTCGGGGGATCCACGGTTCGTGGCTAAAAAGGCCTGGAGCTTAGTAAGGAGCGAGAGGCCAGGCAGCGGCCACACAGCACAGAGACAGTGGTGAATTTGGTGATGGTGAATCTGGTGATGGTGAATATGGTGGTGTAAGCGATGTTGAATCTAGCGGTGTAAGCGATGGTGAATCTGCTGATGGTGAATCTAGCGGTGTAAGCGATGGTGAATCTGGCGTCGTGGCGATGGTGAATCTGGCGGTACAAGTGGTGGTGAATCTGGCGGTGTAAGCGATGGTGAATCTGGCGGTACAAGCGGTGGTGAATCTGGCGGTGTAAGCGATGGTGAATCTGGCGTTGTGGCGATGGTGAATCTGGCGGTACAAGTGGTGGTGAATCTGGCGGTGTAAGCGATGGTATGGCGGTGTAAGCGGTGGTGAATCTGGCGGTGTAAGCAATGGTGAATATGGCGGTGTAAGCGGTGGTGAATCTGGCGGTGTGGCAATGCGAATCTAGTGATGGTGAATCTGGCGGTGTAAGCGCTGGTGAATCTGGCGGTGTAAGTGATGGTTTAATCGTGCGATGGTGGACGTGGCGATGGTGCAGGGGGCTAACCGTGCTGTAGATCTGGTGCAGGATGTCACGCAGAGAGCCCACTTGCAGGTCGGTGTTGAGCACGACGCGGACGCCGCTGGGCGTCTCATAGTAGTGCAGCTTATAGCGGCTCGTCTGGAAGTTGAGGAAGCCATCTTTCCTGCCCACCCGCCATACTGTCAGGGATCAAAAACCTCGAGTCCTGTGAACACCCGTCACGCATCCATCTGCCCGCTCATTCGCCCACCCGCTCATTGGCCCACCCACTCACTCACATGTCCACCCGCTCACTCTGCTCACCCGTCCGCTCGCTCGCCCGCCCGCCCGCCCGCCTTCTCGCACGTTCGTCTGGCCACTGTGTTGTGTGTGGTGAGTGTGAGTGTGGTGTGTGTGTGGTGAGTGTATGTGCGAGTGGTGTGTATATGGTGTGTGTGTTGTGTGTGGTATGTGTGTTCTGTGTGTGGTGAGTGTATGTGAGCATGGTGAGTGTGGCGAGTGTGGATGGTATGTGGTGTGTGTGTTCTGTGTGTGGTGAGTGTATGTGCGAGTGGTGTGTATATGGTGTGTGTGTTGTGTGTGTGGTAAGTGTATGTGAGCATGGTGAGTGTGGCGAGTGTGGATGGTATGTGGTGTGTGTGTTCTGTGTGTGGTGAGTGTATGTGCGAGTGGTGTGTATGTGGGGTGGGAGTTTGATTACAAGGATACATGTCCGTGGGAGACATTTTGCTGATGAAAGATTTGATGGAGAACAGCATCCCGTACATCAGCTTAAACTCCTACACACACATACACGCACGCACGGTCACACATGCTCGGACGGACAACAACAACAACCGCCATTAGCCACTAAGTGGCGGTGACGTCACCACGACGCTTGTGCCAGGCTATGTGCATCTTGAGGCCACATGAAGTGTCGAATGCCTGCTGGCAGGAGGTCACGGGGCAGACCCAGGTGCCACGGGTCGACTGACTGAGATGACTGAGATGACTGAGATGACTGAGATAAGTGGCTGATGCACCACCTGTGCCCCCTACTGTGCAACTTGTTGTGCTTTAGCCACCCGACGCTCCGCTCGTTGTTGTGAGCGTCGCTCCTTCCCCCCTCCATTTTTGTTGGAGGGCGACTGCCTCCAATTGCCCAGTAGCGTCCTTCACGAGCCTCCTCCACAGAGGCTGATCTTGACACCGCTGGTACCAGTCATAGGCAAGTCCACTTAGATCCACATCCTCCTGTACCACATCACTCCATCTCTTCTCTAGCCGATGCCGCGCCCGTTTAGCCCCCTCGATCCGGCCAAACAAAAGCTGTTTCGGCATGCGGTGGCTGGGCATGCGGGCTACATGACCCAGCCAATGCAGCCTTGCCACCTGGAGGAGCTCACCGATGGGACTTTGCCCAGATCTTTCAAGGATATGTGACTGATTCAAAGTGAGACCTCTGCTGTTAAACCGGAGCCGGTCATGAGCACACTGCCAAGGTATGGGAAACTCTCCACTCTCTCCACAACTGCCCTATCACCAATTGGGAGTTGTGGGGGTGGAGTGTCCGATGGTACAAAATACCCAGGCAGGTGCTTAGTTTTGGTGGGACTGATGGTAAGGCCCCACCTCTTAGTGGCAAGCTCCAGGTTCAGCAGCAGCGCCTCCAACTCCTCCTCTGAGTGAGCAGCAATTACCAGATCATTGGCATAAAATAGTTGAGCAATAGGGAGCCATCCCTTGACCGCACCCGGGCATCGATCAGTCTCCCATTGTATCTGTACCAGATGGAAATTCCTCCGGTACAGCTATTGAAGGCTTCACGAACTACATGGTCGAAATAGATGTTAAATAATGTGGGAGCGTGAGGACATCCCTGTCGCACCCCAAAGTGAACAGAGAATGGCTCCGACTCCCGGCCACGTAGTTTTACCCGGGCGTGGCCACTCACCATCATGAAGGTCCTTAATGATCGTAAGAAGCAGGTCAGGGACTCCGAAAACACGAAGAACAACCCATAGCCCAGGCCTACTGATGGTATCATAGGCCTTGACCAGGTCAACAAAGCAGAGATGTAGGTCTTGTTGGAATTCCCTACACCTCTGTTTTAGCAGACTTCCTCAACAGACGGCACCTCAGCCAGCCACTCACAGGAGGTGACTTCTTCCAATAATTGAGGCACCGCAGCCTCAGCAGGGTCATCTTCACTTTGTCCCACGATGTTTTCCAGGCTGAGGGATTTCCCCTCCCCCAGGACCTCACTCAAAATGCTGAGCAAATCTGCAAACCTGTTCCTGGGGGTTGGAGATTGGATCACCGTTCTTCCCCCTAATGATGGTAATAGGTGTGGTGCTGCAGGTTACTTTTTTGATGAAGTTAAAGAGCGATTTGTGATCGCGGGCCATTGAGGCAGACTCCATCTCCTCCGCAACCCGTGACCACCAACCAGTGTCTCTCGGCTCTCCGAACCTCCGAGCAAAGGCTGCAGTAAGCCTCCTCATTCTCTGACGTGGGATGCTGTAGACGATGAGAGTGGGCCTTTCGCTTTTTCTCAGCCAGACTGATAACCTCCTCTGTCAACCAGGGTCTTTGGGGAGGTCTGGACCGTGTACCCAAAGCAGCCATTGCAGCTGCATGAGCCACAGTCCTAAACCTCGCCCATTTCCCCTCGACATCAGGAGGAGTGGGGGACGATGCCAACCCCAGCCACAAGCGATGATGAAATTCTCGCTTGCAACTTTCATCACCTAGCTGGGACCATGCCACTATGGGTTTGAATGGGGTCCTGGTTGTACACCCACCACCGGAGTGGAATAATGGCAGGCGCATCTATGGTCAGTGGGAAGATCAGTTCCACGGTAGGTCCTGGTGTCAAGAGCATGGGCCCGCATCTGCTGTTCCATCACTATGTAGTCCAGCAGATGTTCTTGGTTGGACCCAGAATGCATCCATGATGTTGTGTGGATGCGCCGATGCCGGAAGAGGATGTTGGTAATTACAAGCCCATGGGCTGCACAAAAATCTAGCAGCCTCCTACCGTTGTTATTGAGCTGATCTCGCCCATGTCTTCCAATCACTCCAGACCAGGTGCTAGCATCATGATCAACTCGGGCATTAAAGTCACCCAACAGGATGACTCTATCCCGAGGGGCCACTTTAGCCAGCACCTGTGACAGGAAGTCATAGAAGGCATCGGACTCATCGGCCTTGCCTGCATCCCTCCACGGATGTTCGTCTTCTTTGGGGGCATAAGTAACCACGACCACCACTCCTCGCCTCTGGTTGATGGGAAGGCGAGCCCAAAGTAGCCTGGGGCTTACAGCTTCCCACACCTCACCGCCACGCTCCCATGCCCCCTTCATTATTTTGTTCAGAAGAAGAGCCACTCCCTGTTGTTTGACAGTCTCCTGTTTGACAGTCTCCTTCCCCGAGTAGAGGACTGAATACCGCAGAGATCCAGGCGGACTGGTCCAGCTCCCGACAAAGGAGCGGCAGTCTCTCCTCCACCGTGAGCGTTCGAACATTCCACCTGGCCATCTGTAGTGGCTTTTTGTTGTTTCTGGCGGAGCCCCGATGGTAAAGATTTAGTCTCCTGGCTCCGCCAAATGGGGTTTGGCCAGGAGACGACACAGACACCTGTCCCCCCGGGTCCTCCGGCACAAGCTTAATAATTTTTTTAACTCGTAGTTTAGTGGTAGTTAATTGAAGGTAAAGGGGTTACCAGCCCCTTGCACCCATCCAGAGCCCTGATTTGGCCACAACACACACACATAGATGCACATGCACGGATACACACACATGCATGCACACACACACATGGACGGACACACAGACACACATATGGGAGTACAGAGTACACGCACGGACACATGCGCATGGACACACGTTGGGGCACACCCCCGGCACAAAGACAAAGATCCCCTGTGTAGCCTTAACAGACTGTAGGGGCAAGTGCTGTAAGTAGCGTGTAGCAGCAGCACCTATGAAGGCTGGAACTTTGGCACTCGAGGGGGTGGGTGGCCACCACCGCACCCGGCTGCCTTTGTTTCCCTTGTGGCGATGTTTACACACCGCATGACCAAGGAGAGGCCCAGGACCAGTTCAAATCATCATCACTGGTGTGAGCGGCCGTGAGCAGGAATCGAACTCGGGTGGCCAGGTGTGTTGCTTTGCCAAGTGCTAACCCCTGCGCTACCAACTCCCAACGACAGACGCAAGCACAGACGTGTATACACACACAGACACGCATTCAGACACAAAGACAAATATCCCCCGTGTAGCCTTAATAGGCTGTAGGGGCAAGTGCTGTAAGTAGCGAGTAGCAGCAGCACCTATGAAGGTAGACACAGACAAAGGTCCCCCGTGTAGCCTCTAACAGACTGTTGGGGCAAGTGCTGTAAGTAGCGAGTAGCAGCAGCACCTATGAAGGTAGACACAAAGGTCCCCCGTGTAGCCTTAACAGACTGCTGGGGCAAGTGCTGTTAGCGAGTAGCAGCAGCGCCTGTGAAGGCCGGCACTGTGGTAACACGAGCGTGCCACGAACACTTCCGGTCAGCTTTGTCTCCCTAGTGGCGATGTTTACACACCGCACCAGGTACTCATTTGAGGCTGAGTCGATCTAGGGGGAGGCCCAGGACCGGTTCAGATAACCATCACTGGTGTTGGCCGTGAGCGGGAATCGAACCCGGGTCGCCAGGTTCGTAGCGCGGCGTAGCGCTAACCGCTGCACCACCGCACTCAGGCACACGTGGGCACGTCAACCGGCATTCACCAGCAAGTGACAGTGACTTCACCGCATCGCCTGTGCCAGGCTAGGTGCACCCTGAGGCTACGAAACAGAGCCCAGGGTGCCATGGGGGTGACCAAACAGCCTCATGGGATGGGAACTCTCGACGGCCGCTAATCATGGAGTTTCCTCCAGCCAAGTGGCGTGAGCAGCACTTTCTGTGCTCCGCCTTTACCCATCAACTAACTTAACCCCCCCCCTCCCTTCTCCTCCCCCCTCTGCATCCCTCCTCCACCCACCCCCCTCCCCCTCATGCCTCCTCCTCCACCCACCCCCTTCCCCCCTCATGTCTCCTCCTCCACCCACCCCCCACCCCCTCCCCCTCATGTCTCCTCCTCCACCCACCACCTGCCCCCTCTCCCCCCCTCATGCCTCCTCCTCCCACCCCCTTCCCCCTCTCCCCCCCTCATGCCTCCTCCTCCCACCCCTCTCCCCCCTCATGCCTCCTCCTCCACCCACCCCCATCCCCCCCTCCCCCCTCATGCCTCCTCCTCCACCCACCCCCTTCCCCCTCTCCCCCCTCATGCCTCCTCCTCCCACCACCTGCCCCCTCCTCCCTCCTCCTCGCCCCTCACCTCCTCGCGGGAGATGCCGGCCGTCTTGCGCCGGTTCCACTCGCCATAGTATAAGCACGCGCCGCTCCGGTCGAAGATGTACAGGTTGTGTACCGTCATGGCCGCCCGCTGCCCTAACGCCAAAAGAGGGAGACGCTCATCACGCGACTCACACAGAGACCCATAGACTAACACAGACTCACACAGAGACCCATAGACTCACACAGACTCACACAGAGACCCATAGACTCATACAGAGACCCATAGACCCACACAGAGACCCATAGACTCACACAGAGACCCATAGACTCACACAGACTCACACAGAGACCCATAGACTCACACGACTCACACAGAGACCCATAGACTCACACAGAGACCCATAGAACCACACAGAGACCTATAGACTCACACAGAGACCCATAGACTCACACAGACTCACACAGAGACCCATAGACTCACACAGAGACCCATAGACTCACAAAGACTCACACAGAGACCCATAGACTCACACAGAGACCCATAGACCCACAGACTCGCACAGAGACCCGTAGACTCACACACTCGCACATAGACCCATAGACACCCAGGGACTCACGCAGAGGTCCATAGAGTCACACAGAGATCCATAGACTTATAGAGACCCATACTCAGAGAGACCCCATAGACTCACACAGAGACCCACAGACTAATCACACAGAGACCCACATACTTATCACACAGAGACCCACATACTTATCACACAGAGACCCACAGACTTCTCACACAGAGACCCACAGACTAATCATACAGAGACCCATAGACACCCACAGAATAATCACACTGAGACCCATAGACTCACACAGAGATCCAGACTCACACAGACTCACACAGATCCACATACTCACACCGAGACTCGCGCAGAGATCCATAAACGCACACAAACACACAGACTCACAGAGACCCATAGACTCACAGAGACCCATAGACTCACAGAGACCCATAGACTCACAGAGACCCATAGACTCACAGAGACCCATAGACTCACAGACTCACAGAGCTTCATAGACTCACACAGAGAATAACACAGAGATCCATAGACTAATCACACAGAGACCCATAAACTCACACAGAGACCCATAGACTCACACATAGACCCATAGACTCACACAGAGACCCATAGACTCACAGAGCTCCACAGACTCACACAGAGCTCCACAGACTCACACAGAGACTAACACAGAGACTAACACAGAGATCCATAGAGACTAACACAGAGACTAACACAGAGATCCACAGACTCACACAGAGACCTACAGACTCACACAGAGACCCACAGACTCACACAGAGACCCACAGACTCACACAGAGCTCCACAGACTCAGACAGAGACTAACACAGACTCACACAGAGACCCACAGACTCACACAGAGCTCCAGACTCACACAGAGCTCCACAGACTCACACAGAGCTCCACAGACTCACACAGAGCTCCACAGACTCACACAGAGACTAACACAGAGACTACCACAGAGACTAACACAGAGACCCATAGAGACTAACACAGAGACTAACACAGAGATCCATAGATAATCGATCCTCGGAAGTGACCGGGGAAGTTAAATATGGACTGTGTACAGGCGAGGTGAAGTATGGACAGGGTACAGTGTACAGGCGAGGTGAAGTATGGACAGGGTACAGTGTACAGGCCAGGTGAAGTATGGACAGTGTACAGGCGAGGTGAAGTATGGACAGTGTACAGTGTACAGGCGAGGTGAAGTATGGACTGTGTACAATGTACAGGCGAGGTGAAGTATGGACAGTGTACAGACGTGAAGTATGGACAGTGTACAGGCGGGGTGAAGTATGGACAGTATACAGTGTACAGGCGAGGTGAAGAATGGACAGTGTACAGACGAGGTGAAGTATGGACAGTGTACAGGCGGGGTGAAGTATGGACAGTGTACAGTGTGTACAGTGTGCAGGACTGACTGCTCACCGCGTCTCTGTTGCTCCTCAGACCGGAAGTGCTCCCCCTGCGGGCCCCGCCCCTTCCGCCTTGGACACGGAACGGAAAAGGCGCGGCCTGTTGGGGTAGTGGTGGGGGGGGTCAGAGGGGGGGGGTCAGAGGGGGGGTAGTGGTGGGTGGGGGTAGCGATCTTCCGGTGGCGGCAGCGATCTTCTGGTCGCGGCGGCGGACATCTTCTGGTGGCGGTAGCAAACCTTCCGGTGGAGGCGATAACTATTTCCCGGTGGCGCGAACGATCTTCCGGAGGCAGGAGCAATCTTCCGGTGGCGGTAGCAAACTTCCGGTGGAGGCGGCAGACATCTTCCGGTGGCGGTAGCGATCTTCCGGTGGAGGCGATAGCTATTTCCCGGTGGCGCGAACGATCTTCCGGTGGAGGTGGCAGACATCTTCCGGTGGCGACGGTAGCGATCTTCCGGTGTTAGTAGCGATCTTCCGGTGGCGGTAGCTATCTTCCGGTGGCGTAAGCTATCTTCCGGTGGCGACGGTAGCGATCTTCCGGTGTTGGTAGCGATCTTCCGGTGTTGGTAGCGATCTTCCGGTGTTGGTAGCGATCTTCCGGTGTTGGTAGCGGTCTTCCGGTGTTGGTAGCGATCTTCCGGTGTTGGTAGCGATCTTCCGGTGTTGGTAGCGATCTTCCGGTGTTGGTAGCGATCTTCCGGTGGAGGCGGCGGCGGCGGAGAACTTCCGGTGGAGGCGGTAGCAGCGAGCGAGCGAGGGAGCGAGCGGCCGGCCGAGGGCTTCTCCCACCGCGTCGCTTCCCGCCCCCCAACACCCCCCGCGGCCTCCGCTTCGTTCGCAGCCGCAGCGGTGCAAGGGGCGCGGGCGGGCGAGCGAGCGGTGAGGGCGAGCGGGCGGGAGAGCGAGCGGGCGACCAGCCGGTCGCTGCTTTGCTGCTGATCCCTGGGACGCGGCGGCCGACGAGGAGGCCGGAGAGAAGAGGAGGAAGGGAGGAGGAGGGGACCGAGAGCGATGGCGACGGCGAGGAGGAGGAAGGCGGAGGAGCGCGGCGTGAGGCGACTGCGCGAGATGACGGCGCTGCCGCACAACCGCGCGTGCGGCGACTGCGGGCAGCGGGGCCCCACGTACGCGGACATGACGGTGGGCTCGTTCGTGTGCACGGCCTGCAGCGGACTGCTGTGAGAGACGCCCCCCGCACAAACCTCGCTCACACGCTCGGGTCCGCCGCTCGCGTGTCGTCGTGGTGGTGGTCGTGGTGGTGGTGGTGGTCGTGGTGGTGACACCGCGTGTGGTGGTGGTGGTCGTGGTGGTGGTGGTCGTGGTGACACCGCGCGTGTGGTCGTGGTGGTGGTGGTGACACCGCGTGTGGTGGTGGTCGTGGTGGTGGTGGTAGTGACACCGCGCGTGGTGGTGGTGGTCGTGGTGGTGGTGGTAGTGGTGGTGGTGGTAGTGGTGGTGGTGGTAGTGGTGGTGGTGGTAGTGGTGGTGGTGGTAGTGGTGGTGGTAGTGGTGGTGTGGTGGTGGTAGTGGTGGTGGTGACACCGCGCGCACTCGCCCCCCCTTGTTCGTCTACGCTGTGCGTGTGTGGTGTGCGTAGTGGCCTCCTGCTAGAGCCATACTTCACCCTCAGTGTACAGTGTGTGTACAGTGTGCGTAGTGGCCTCCTGCTAGAGCCATACTTCACCCTCAGTGTACACTGTGTGTACAGTGTGTGTACAGTGTCCTGCTAGAGCCATACTTCACCCTCAGTGTACAATGTGTGTACAGTGTGTGTACAGTGTCCTGCTAGAGCCATACTTCACCCTCAGTGTACACTGTGTGTACAGTGTGCGTAGTGGCCTCCTGCTAGAGCCATACTTCACCCTCAGTGTACACTGTGTGTACAGTGTGTGTACAGTGTCCTGCTAGAGCCATACTTCACCCTCAGTGTACACTGTGTGTACAGTGTCCTGCTAGAGCCATACTTCACCCTCAGTGTACACTGTGTACAGTGTGTGTACAGTGTCCTGCTAGAGCCATACTTCACCCTCAGTGTACACTGTGTGTACAGTGTCCTGCTAGAGCCATACTTCACCCTCAGTGTACACTGTGTGTACAGTGTGTGTACAGTGTCCTGCTAGAGCCATACTTCACCCTCAGTGTACACTGTGTGTACAGTGTCCTGCTAGAGCCATACTTCACCCTCAGTGTACACTGTGTGTACAGTGTGTGTACAGTGTCCTGCTAGAGCCATACTTCACCCTCAGTGTACACTGTGTGTACAGTGTGTGTACAGTGTCCTGCTAGAGCCATACTTCACCCTCAGTGTACACTGTGTGTACAGTGTGCGTAGTGGCCTCCTGCTAGAGCCATACTTCACCCTCAGTGTACACTGTGTGTACAGTGTCCTGCTAGAGCCATACTTCACCCTCAGTGTACACTGTGTGTACAGTGTCCTGCTAGAGCCATACTTCACCCTCAGTGTACACTGTGTACAGTGTGTGTACAGTGTCCTGCTAGAGCCATACTTCACCCTCAGTGTACACTGTGTGTACAGTGTCCTGCTAGAGCCATACTTCACCCTCAGTGTACACTGTGTGTACAGTGTGTGTACAGTGTCCTGCTAGAGCCATACTTCACCCTCAGTGTACACTGTGTGTACAGTGCTGTGTACAGTGTCCTGCTAGAGCCATACTTCACCCTCAGTGTACACTGTGTGTACAGTGTGTGTACAGTGTCCTGCTAGAGCCATACTTCACCCTCAGTGTACACTGTGTGTACAGTGTGTGTACAGTGTCCTGCTAGAGCCATACTTCACCCTCAGTGTACACTGTGTGTACAGTGTGCGTAGTGGCCTCCTGCTAGAGCCATACTTCACCCTCAGTGTACACTGTGTGAACAGTGTGTGTACAGTGTCCTGCTAGAGCCATACTTCACCCTCAGTGTACACTGTGTGTACAGTGTCCTGCTAGAGCCATACTTCACCCTCAGTGTACACTGTGTACAGTGTGTGTACAGTGTCCTGCTAGAGCCATACTTCACCCTCAGTGTACACTGTGTGTACAGTGTCCTGCTAGAGCCATACTTCACCCTCAGTGTACACTGTGTGTACAGTGTGTGTACAGTGTCCTGCTAGAGCCATACTTCACCCTCAGTGTACACTGTGTGTACAGTGCTGTGTACAGTGTCCTGCTAGAGCCATACTTCACCCTCATTGTACACTGTGTGTACAGTGTGTGTACAGTGTCCTGCTAGAGCCATACTTCACCCTCAGTGTACACTGTGTGTACAGTGTGTGTACAGTGTCCTGCTAGAGCCATACTTCACCCTCAGTGTACACTGTGTGTACAGTGTGCGTAGTGGCCTCCTGCTAGAGCCATACTTCACCCTCAGTGTACACTGTGTGTACAGTGTGTGTAGTGGCCTCCTGCTAGAGCCATACTTCACCCTCAGTGTACACTGTGTGTACAGTGTGTGTACAGTGTCCTGCTAGAGCCATACTTCACCCTCAGTGTACACTGTGTGTACAGTGTCCTGCTGGAGCCATACTTCACCCTCAGTGTACACTGTGTGTACAGTGCTGTGTACAGTGTCCTGCTAGAGCCATACTTCACCTTCATTGTACACTGTGTGTACAGTGTGTGTACAGTGTCCTGCTAGAGCCATACTTCACCCTCAGTGTACACTGTGTGTACAGTGTGCGTAGTGGCCTCCTGCTAGAGCCATACTTCACCCTCAGTGTACACTGTGTGTACAGTGTGTGTACAGTGTCCTGCTAGAGCCATACTTCACCCTCAGTGCACACCATGTACAGTGCTGTGTACAGTGTCCTGCTAGAGCCATACTTCACCCTCAGTGTACACTGTGTGTACAGTGTGTGTACAGTGTCCTGCTAGAACCATACTTCACCCTCAGTGTACACTGTGTGTACAGTGTGTGTACAGTGTCCTGCTAAAGCCATACTTCACCCTCAGTGTACAGTGTGTGGACAGTGTCCTGCTAGAGCCATACTTCACCCTCAGTGTACACTCTGTGTACAGTGTCCTGCTAGAGCCATACTTCACCCTCAGTGTACACTGTGTGTACAGTGTCCTGCTAGAGCCATACTTCACCCTCAGTGTACACTGTGTACAGTGTGTGTACAGTGTCCTGCTGGAGCCATACTTCACCCTCAGTGTACACTGTGTGTACAGTGTCCTGCTAGAGCCATACTTCACCCTCATTGTACACTGTGTACAGTGTGTGTACAGTGTCCTGCTAGAGCCATACTTCACCCTCAGTGTACACTATGTGTACAGTGTGTGTACAGTGTCCTGCTAGAGCCATACTTCACCCTCAGTGTACAGTGTGTGTACAGTGTCCTGCTGGAGCCATACTTCACCCTCAGTGTACAGTGTGTGTACAGTGTCCTGCTGAAGCCATACTTCACCCTCAGTGTACACTGTGTGTACAGTGTGTGTACAGTGTCCTGCTAGAGACATACTTCACGCTCAGTGTACAGTGTGTGTACAGTGTCCTGCTAGAGCCATACTTCACCCTCAGTGTACACTGTGTGTACAGTGTGTGTACAGTGTCCTGCTGAAGCCATACTTCACCCTCAGTGTACACTGTGTGTACAGTGTCCTGCTAGAGACATACTTCACGCTCAGTGTACAGTGTGTGTACAGTGTCCTGCTAGAGCCATACTTCACCCTCAGTGTACGCTGTGTGTACAGTGTGTATACAGTGTCCTGCTAGAGCCATACTTCACCCTCAGTGTACACTGTGTGTACACGGGGGACCTTTGTCTGTGTCTACCTTCATAGGTGCTGCTCACTAACAGCACTTGCCCCTACAGTCGGTTAGAGGCTACACGGGGGACCTTTGTGTCTACCTTCATAGGTGCTGCTCGCTAACAGCACTTGCCCCGACAGTCTGTTAGAGACTACACGGGGGATCTGTGTCTGTGTCTACCTTCACAGGCGCTGCTGCTACTCGCTACTCACAGCACTTGCCCCTACACTCTGTCAAGGCTACACGGGGGACCTTTGTCTGTGTGCTCGCCGTGACACTGGAATGTCCATGTACTCTATGTACACGTGTGTATAATGCATACATGTACTGTACTCGCGAATTGTACTTGCACTTTAACACTCACATACACACACACACGTACACTCACACGCACATTCCCATACACACACGCGTACAAAGACAAATATCCCCCGTATAGCCTTAACAGACTGTAGGGGCAAGTGCTCTTCACGAGCAGCACCTATGAAGGCCGGAACGGTACACGAGGGGGTGGGTGGCCAGCACCACGCCCGACCGCCTTTGTCTCCCCAGTGGCGATGTTTACACACCACACCAGGTACTCATTTGAGGCTGAGTCGACCTAGGGGAGGCCCGGGACCGGTACAGATAATCGTCACTGGTGTTGGCCGTGAGCGGGATTCGAACCCGGGTCGCCAGGTTCATAGTGCAGCGTAGCGCTAACCGCTACACTATCGCTCCCCACTCACGCGTACACTCCCATACACACACACACACTCCCATACACACACACGTACACCCCCATACACACACGTACACACATACTCGCACACACTCACCTACTCCCACTCGCACTCACTCGCACACACACTCGCACCACCCACCCACACACTCACTCGCACACACATACACTCGCACGCACTCACTCACACACACATACACTCGCACGCACTCACACACTCGCACACACACGCACACACACGTATTCGCACACACGCTCACACACTCACCCACTCGCACACACACTCACCCACTCGCACACACGCTCACACACTCACCTACTCGCACACACACTCACCCAATCGCACACACACTCACCTACTCGCACACACACTCACCCACTCGCACACACACTCACCCACTCGCACACACACTCACCCACTCGCACACACACTCACCCACTCGCACACACACTCACCTACTCGCACACACACTCACCCACTCGCACACACACTCACCTACTCGCACACACACCCACAGACACACACTCGCCCACTCGCACACACACTCATTCACTAATCCACTCAACGCACTTAATGACCCACCCACTCTGAACTCAACAGTTTTATTTACAGTACCAGGTAAAGCCCACTGACTCAGCCATGAATGCATTCAACCATCAACTCAATCAAGCCACTCACCCACCCACTCACTCACCCACTCACCC